CTGCACTACAACCGTGATGACAGTTCCTGTCACCTCAGGGCCTAGCTTTGGTGTGCCCACAGCTCTCCTATACATCTGTATTACAGAGGAGTTACTGTACATGTAAAACGTTTAATGAGTTTCAATGAGAAAACATTTTTGCACCCTAGGGAGGAAATATGTCACCAATCTGATAAAAAAAAAAAAAAAAACATTACTCAACAGTAAAGATAAAATATTTATCTTGCACATCGAAAAATATATATATTTTTGTATTTCAAAATATTTAAATCTTATGATTTATTTTTTATTTGTTTTTTTTTTTTAAGTTCTTAATCAAGGTCCTTGGGTGGGTGGGGCACGCCCTAGCACCCCCTATTGGCCAGCTGCTACGGAAAAAGTGACTGATTTCGGATTAGTGTTGGCCTGGGTAAGCATTTCTATTTAGGGAAGAACAAACAGGTGCAGGACAAAGGATTGGAGTTAGACTACTTGTTTAACAGTTTGCTAATTTAGTGGGTCCTGGGTTTCTACTGGTGAATTGTGTTACGTTTCATGTGGCAAGAATATGTAAGGAGTTTTTAGGAAGAAGTAAGTTGCCTCCACACTACCCTGACCCAGTGTAGTTGAACATCTCTAAAACATCACTTTTATTTTCTTCCAACAGAATTAGATTGCATTTCAGAGTGTCCAAGGGCACTGGGATTCTCTTGTCAGAATCTGTAAAGAAATATCCAAGGAAACAACCGTCATCTTATGAGGAGTAGTGTTGTAATCAAGAGTGCATCAACCAAGACCAAGACATTACCCAGACCAGGGAGTACCTAGACGAAGACAAGGTCAAGACATTTAGAGGACAATTCCATGACATGGTCAAGACATTTAGAGGTTGGGACCAAGACAAAACCAAGACCATATATATAAAAGAAAAATTATATTTAATTTTTTTTTTTTTTTCGAGTTAAAAAACTAAACGGATAAGTCACAATAAATCGTCCATTTCATAGAAAAATTATAGATAAAGCAAAGAGTAAGTACCAGTTAATTCAAATGAGCTGTGTGAAAAAATCTCACATTTAAGTCAGGTATTTTTTTGTTAAAATTTTTGAACATTAGTCTTTCCTTTTTTCACTCAGCTGCTTTCCTCCTGTCGTCTCGCACTTCTCTAAACTGAGATCGCTCAAAGGGGTGTGTTTCAATCAGTGTCACACTGGCAGCAGGCAGGTGGCAGCTGCATCTACAGTAGAGGGTCATTATTTCACTCTTATCAGTATGGTATAGGAAAAGCCTGTTACCAAGACAAGACTAAGAACCTTGAGAAAAGACTAATCTTAAGTACTTCAACGTTAAACAAAGAGTAAGCGCAGTGTTTATACTGTAGGCATACAAACCACTATTTTGAGTCAATGCAAAAACATTTTAGCAAATTTGCAGCCTGGAACATCAGCTTTTCATTTTCTCTTTCTCTGACTTTTGATCAAGCCTTGTGTGGGTTGATAATGTCAGTTTTTCAAATGATGAAGGACTCTTTTGTTCTTTACATATTATTCTTTCTGCATCAGCATGGATATCCAGCATGATTGCTTTTTTGTTGTTTTTCTCACTTAATGTGCATTTAAAGTGTTCTTTCTATTTTCTGAGAACTGCAATATAACATTGTTCAATCAGTGTTTGTGCTGAGAGGATTTAAAATAGAGTATTTAAATTTATATTGCCTTGTACCTCCAAAATCTATTTACCGAATACAAACAAGAGAGGACATGTTTTTTTATTAATATAAAACATTATCACTATTACAGCATTCATTATCGAATGAAAAGCATTCACAGTGTGTGATTAGGAATCTGGTAGTCCAAAGTATTTTTCATGTTTTAGAGATAAACTGCTTAATGGTAGCTTACATGATTACTGAAAGTGTTTTATGCCCTCATTTTTTAGAGGCAAATACACAACTTTAAGCCAAACTAGTACAACTTGGAGCTCTTCTAGTTAACATGGCTTCCTGATAAGCAGCCAGGAACGTGCTGAAAAATACAAAAAGATAATCTTACATGGCAAACCAAAATGAGAAAATCATCGTCTTGATTGACTGTGGTTAAATTAGTCCCATATGATTTTATTTAACAAACTAACTGTTCTGTTATCATTTTTTTTGCACACAATCTTGTACATCAGACATAAAAATCTCTCACCTTTTGGTAAAATTTGTCACTTTGAATCCCAAATTGGCCATCGAGGTGAATCGTAGATCTGATGAAAAATAAATAAATGGTAGGCAGGGCCTAAGTGTTTGTGTGATTCCGTATATAGTTTGATATAACCTTGGTTACACACAAGAGGTTTGCTCTGATATTCAGCAGTTTTCACATTTTCACCCAAAATTATTCATACCCCAGCAGATTAGGAGTACTGTAATCTTTTATTTACAAGGATGTGTGCTCTGAATGGTAGTAACATGTTGTTGCTACAGGTTCCTTGTAATATGTTAGTGTAACATTTTAACAGTAACCGCCCAGAATGTCCCAGATGCTGCAGCCCCGGAGAACATGCAGGAGTCCGAAGCCAGGTCAGGCAAACAGATCAGAACAAGAAAAGGCAGGCTCAGAGGACTAGGGGTCCGAAGCCAGGTCAGACAAACAGATCAGATATGGTACAGTCAGGCTCAGAGGTCCAGGAGTTCCAAACACCTTAAATAGAGGTAACAGCAGGTGGATCACGTGAGCAGGGATTAGAAACCAGGCAGGGATGGACAGGTGAATGGAATGAATAATTAATCCAATCATCGGTGCCAAGATCATGACATTCCACCTTCAAAGATTTGGGTTAGGTGTAAATTACTGCTGTCATTTCAATCAGTTGACCAAAACAAATTTCAAATACATGCTAGATTTAAGAATAATGCTCAACAGCATATCAATCTTTAGTGTTTCCTCTTTATTTACTCAGCAGTTCTTTCCCCATTCCTTAAACTGTTGCCACCTTTGTTAACTGCCAGTTGTGTATATTTTGTTTTTTTGTTTTTTATTGCAAGCATTATGTATTCATCAAACTGTTTGTGAATATTGCTCTTGAAATAAAGACTGACTGTTGAAGTCTCAGAGTAAAATGCCCTGTACTGTATGTTTGCTTAGATATTCACATGTGAGGGAAAATCCCATTACTGTCAAGGTTTTCTCCTCTGCTGCTTTTGATTTCATGATATTTGTTTGTTTCAGTGTTGCCTCTAAACCATTTAAGTTAGCATATCCTTTCGAAGATGGCGGAAGTAGTCCATCTGGTGATTTGTCACATGAGCATGTGGGTAAGCACACATTTTTTCTGCATACACTACATCCAAAGAGAGACAGGGTTAGTTAATATCTATTAAGGACAATCATCCCAATCTAGTTTTTCACATGTAGCCATATGCTGTGAAGATAAACATAATTTCTAAGGTTTTTTTCAAGCCAATGTAATGACTTAGTCACCAAGGGGAAAAGAGATCAGCATGTGCTGCAATGATCCCAGACACAGGATTAGAAACTAAGCAGATGACTAAAGACAAGAAACAACCTTCCAGTTGAATACATATATGATCTCATCCTTGAAAAGACTCTGCACATGTATGTGCCATTTGTAGTCAAAACATTTTTAATTATCAGTCTTAAAAATATTATAATTTAATGAACAAATGGAAGAAATTGAAAAATGCCTGAGTTTTTTTTTTGGAGGAACATAAATGGGTACACACATTTATTTATATGCTAATTTTGCTCTGAATTTATGTTTAAAGAACTGCGTTTGCAACACAAGATGAGGAGGGATTAGAGCACTGTGGGTTAATCTTCAGCACTGCCATCTGCCATTACAATGAACAAGAAATCTCAAGGTATGGCCTAAAATGAACTAAAACACACAGATACACGTTAACAGGAGATTTGTTTTGATCAACCCCTTAGGAGATTTTGTGAGGGTTTCAAAAAATTCAAAACATTGATGAAGTGTAAACTTTGGAAAGCTTTTGGAGGATATGAGCGCTAAAGAGAGTCATATTTCTTTTCTTTCACAGACAGATTTGATATAACAAAAACATTTCTGAAATGACCCCTACTTGGAGATCTTTAAGATGGGGTCTTTAGAGCCACTACAGAAATAAACCAAATTATATTTATTTTAAAGTGCTTAAAGATATGAAAGCATTATTTTAAATGGACAAAACCAACTACTTCAGTTGTTTGTAACTTCCACTTTTAATTAATTTTCTAAAAATGTTGTACTCTCATCCAATAGTTTGATAATGATTCGACTATGGTACCATTTGTAGGTCAATAGCTAAAAAGTTTAGAAACTGTAACTCTTAAGGAGCAATTCTCACACAAAATTAGACTCTAAGACTTTCATCCCAGTACACAGAGAAATGGGTAGTAATGGTTAGTGGGGAATATGTGCCCCCACATATTACTGCCACCTGCGGAAAGGAATGAAACATGACCAAATACCTCAGGATCATGACATTTATATACTGTACAATATAGATGAATTGAAATAAAATGAAGTTTAATCATATCATTCTTCCATATTGTCATCATGTGAGAAAAAAAAACCCTGAGTTCTAAAAAGATACATTTTCACAACATAATTTGTGTTCATGTAGATGATTTGTCACTATTTTTGACTGTCTTGCTTTTTGTTTAGCTGGAGAGCAAGAGAAGTAGCCTATTCCAGCAAATAAGCTGATTAATCAAGGTAATTAATTAAGTTTACCAGCAAGAACATATCCACGTTCAGTTTCACAATGATATAATGTTGCTTCAAGAAACAAGGCATTTCTTGAACTCTAGTTGTTGAAAGCAGTTTAAAAAATATAAGTGCTTGGTCCAGTTAGTGAGGAGACCCTGTAGTAAATCTCAACAGTCATTGGATTACCAGTTAAGCATCTGCTTTTAGCCCTGTACAGCCGTTGGAAAACACCTTGAGAGCTGTGCCTATTACTTTCGACAGAGCCGTCTTTATGGTGCTGATTCGTTGATTTATTCTGTAGAATGAAGAATGTGAAGATTTCTACTTTCCCACTGCTTTTTGTGTTTGTGCAAGCCTGTTTAGGTAAGTCGGATGATATGATTGTCAACTTACAGTGGATTCAGAACAGATCCTAATTTAGAAGCTTTAAAAATCGTTAAAAAGTCTCCGGTTTGATTGTAGAGGTAATTTTGAATTGTTTAAATTATTTCACTTTAGATATTTACAATATTTAATATCGTGTCTTTTATTGTACAAAAAATTTATTTCAGGATAAAATATTCTTTGCTAAAAAGAATGTGTGAAGAGTTACATTTGGAACAGTTCCTGAATTTGTATTCTATGCTAAATAAATTCTGTGAGACCATCCTGACTCTGTTTAGATTAGGTAGCTAAGCTGGCTGACGTAACCCACCTGTAATCGGGATCAAAGGGACAGTATGATAAATGCGTATATTTTGTTAATGGGCATCTTTAAAAAAAACAATAGTCAAAGTTAACAAATACAGAAAAAATATAAAACATTGATTAGGTCTAAACTAAAATGTCTCATCTCTCTACACAAAAATACTTTTTGCTTGAACATTTTTTTTTTTTCCCTAGCTCAAGCCGACTTTGCCCCCTACTTTTTCGACAATGGCCAATACAGTAATAGTGGGAATCTGGCACTGTTCAGCCTGTCTGAGGACACCCCTGTTGGTAAGAAATACCATATTCATACACTGCATTTCTTTGAACCCATAAGAGTCCAGTCTGAGAGCCAATAAACAAAGTGGTTAGCTTTGGTATCTGGAATATTCAGAAATTTGAATAACATTTCATTAAATGAACAGATGTTGCGTGTTGTGTTAATTTATTATTATTACTTGTTGATGCGATAAATTGTTTGTTTTGCTGAAAGCTCATAATCTTTTATTAATATATTGTGGTTCCCTCCTACAGGTACACAGATCTATCAACTTAATGGCACAGACCCTGAAGGCCAGGAGGTAAGTTATGGTCTTTCCTTTGACCCGGGATCAAAGGAGTACTTCAGAGTCGACCCAAAATCTGGAAATATTACATTAGTGGAAAAGTTGGATAGAGAGGTAAGCCGAAGACTACAACATAAATCACCAAAAATATCTGTGAAGTTTTGCAAAAATATCTTTTTTTTGTGTTTTTTTTATTTTATGTTCTTTATTTAGAAACAAGATTCAGTTGATGTTAATATCAGCATCACAGATGGAAGAAGTAAGGTATTTATATATATATATATGTTTTTTTTTTTCAAAACAAAAAAGTTGCCGAATTTTTAACAACTTAACCTATGCACAGACATTTTGCTTGTGAGCAATTTCTTACAGAGATTTTGTTGAATAAAGGATTATTGGAGATCTTTCTCCTACGACTTGGAGTTGATGTGGCTTTTCAACACTAACATAATAATAAGGAATGTGTGCTCTATAAATATTACAGGTGCGAAAATCAGAGATTTGTACAAGATTTCACATCTTCGGATTTTCTTATTTTCTTAAATTATGATTTATTTGTAAGAACCACAATTAAGGATGTTGAATAAACATTTCCATATTTATAGTTATATATTGTTCACATTAGATGAATAGATGTTTTAAGGTCAGTTTCAAATGTATAAGTGATTTGCATGATTAGTTCCACAAGTATTAATACCTATTAAAAAAAAAAAACTGTCTGTGTGTATTCCCTATAAATTAATCTGAGGCTCAGAGTTTTCAAACATTTCCAGAGTAACTATGATCTATAATAACCATAGAGTGAATGTCAATGAAGAGACTAGTCAGAATGCAGTTCTCTCTCAGAAACCTCTTATAGTCTAGTCATTGCACTTTCTAAGAACTAAATCCCAAACACATCAACACTACTGAAAATAGTGTTTTTTTTCTGTGATGTATCTTCTTCAAGACCCAAAGGGGTTATTATTGTTACGACTTGGTAGCTCTTATAGTTCACTAACTGAAAAAAATTAATATTTGAGTTTCCAGCAACCATTTAGCAGTGAAGAACTTAGAATTTAATCAATTGAATAATGCATCTGTTGTAATTATATCAGGTGACATGATCCAATCTTAGATGCTTGTCAGATAAGGTGTATGTCTTTAGCAATTATATCTTGGTAGAAAACACCTTAGTAGAAAAGGATAATGAGTGTTTTTTTTAATTTACCAACTACTTACCTTACTTACCTACTCCATTTAATGTTGTGGATTGTTTAAGTCATGGTGTTGTTAAAAAATAATTCTTATTTCCTTTTTTGATTCTTTCAAGGTTGTTGAACGAGTCACAATATTTGTAATGGATGCAAACGATGAAAAGCCAGAATTCCAAAACATGCCTGCAATCATAGATGTATTGGAAGTAAGATTCCAGTCTTAGAAACTGTCTTAATTTTATAACCAATAAACAAAGTTAAAACAATGTTTAAGTATACACAGTTACCGAACAACAATCCATGAACTTATGAGTTCACACAAGTGTTACATTTTTTTGTCTACTTTGTTAAATTTAGACAACTGAATCTGGGAAAAGTATCTACAAAGTGGAAGCTGTGGACAGAGACACAGGCTCTGGAGGCTCAGTGACCTACCATCTCCAGGTAAGCACCACACAAAATTTGATCTGGGGGACTCATTCTACATACTGTACTGTATACAGATGTCATTATTTTCTAATTAAGATGTCATAGAACCTATGAATCTGTTGATATGCTTGAATATGTTGATGTTATTATGAAGGAGGGGATCTCCTTCAAAATAGCCATGTCTAAATGATGAGAGGGCTGCTTTAGCAGCGGGTGGTGAAGAGCACTAGTTTGTACTTTGTGCTATTGGGATCAATAACTGTAGCAAATATGGCATATGGTTATAGCTGTAGTTCACAATCTGTTATGGGCATAATTGCATTGGGCGTTCAAATCAACAGAGACACAGATAAACTAACTCATTTAAAAAGCTTCAAACTAGTTTTGTCCAGTTATCTAGCCTTACTTACTATGTCTCATGTTAGATGTTTATTAAAATTTCCTTTCACATTTCCCCATATCCCACCTACCCTGTGCAAATGGCTATTAGCACCACTTCCATCTGGAATACAACACAACGGCATTAAAAGTAAAACAAACAATCCTAAAATAGCACACTGTAATGGCTCAGAACAGAGGAATCAGTATCCACACAAGACAGAAGGATAACTCAAAAGGCATATAATAAAATCAAACAGATCTGTTGAACAGTAACAGCTGCTAGGACATCTGAGGCAGGAAACTCTGGAGAGAAAAGTCACAGGTTAGCCCCTATATAACGGCGAAAGAGCTTGAATGTGAGTCACTAACCTGGTTTACAATTTAGTCAATCGCCAGAGAATGAGGTAGGATCCAGCCAGTGGGCTGCCAACAAGATGCGGCGGGTGCCTCCCAGGGTTTCCCAGATGCTGCAGCCCCATGTGCAGGAGTCAGAAGCCAGGTCAGACAAACAGACCAGAAGAAGAACAGGCAGGCTTAGAGATCCAAGAGTCCAAAGACAGTTCAGGCAATTCGTTCAGACAGGAACAGGTCGGCTCATTAATTGAGAGGCAGAACAGGTCAGGATCAGGAAATCAGAAACACTAAGGTACGCTAAAAACCACTCTCATCTCTGTCTAGAAAGGACAAGAATAATGAGGACTTGATGACTGGATGCAAGCACCTTAAATAGAAAGCAGGAGCAGGTGAATCAGATGAGCAGTGATGAGAAAACGGGCAGAGTAGGAAAATTGAATGAGAAATTAAGTCAGTTCAAAGCAAATAACATGACACACACACAGTGGGAAATTGTTCCCACAGGGTAACAAACACACCCACACCCCCCTACTAACCATTAAACTGGCCTTTGTACCTTCCTTTAGACTGGACAGTCACTAACTACATTTTATGCACACACTAAACGTTAGATTTCTATGTAATTATGTTCCTTTCAATTATATTTTTTATTTCCAACCAATGTTTATATTTTTTCTTCAAATGGCTGTATCCTAATAGTCTTCTATAGCTAAATTTCAATCTTATTTTTTGTTATTTCCTTTATTACAGACACCTCAGTCCAGTTTGTTTGCAATTGACATAAACAGTGGAGTGGTGCGTATCAGATCCGGACAAATGTTGGATTACGAGAAAACCAGGACACACTTTGTTACTGTCATTGCAAAGGTACAAATTTTTTCAAAGTTATACTGTTTTTGAAATACCTTTGAGTAATTTTCTTCTTGTGGAAGTTTGGCTTGTTTTTACTACTAGTAGTTTTTAAAAAGTGAAATCTTCAGTTGCTTTGTGACACGTAAGTGGGTTGGAAAACTACAAAAAATTTCATTAGAATACAACAGTGTACAAAGTAGAATTAAGGCTTTTCCAAAAAAAAAAAAAAAATGCCTAGCTTAGCAAAGCTTTAGAAAATAAAACAATTTTTTTTTATTCTTTTGTCTTTTTTAGGATGGCGGCGGCAACTTGAATGGCAAGGAGCAATTTATGTCATCCACTGCAACACTCACTGTCAACGTGGTTGATGCACAAGACACTCCACCATTTTTTATTGGAACCCCCTACTTTGGCTATATTTATGAAGTCTCAGCACCAGTGAGTGTCAACACATCTCCCAATCACTGTCTTTAATATGTAATAACATCAAATTTCTGTTGTGATTTCTTTGTACATCTCAGGTTTAGATGTTCTATCTGTTTTAGCTAGTAAAATTATAGTGTAAATACACATCGTTTCCATTTTAAGGTTTTGATATATTCAAGGTTATCTTAAAAAACTAGTGCATACCCTCAACTTGTTTTAGTTCTGAATCAGCATGCACACATAAGCTCTGAAGCAGCATGATGACCCTGAAAGCTATAACTGAATTGGAAACATGGACACTAACAAGAGATCCCATAAACCAAACTGAGGACCCGAATAACAGACCAAATATGTGCATGCTGAGGAGATAAGAGGTGAATGGGTTCCACTAATTAACTGGTGGCTCAGCTAGAGAGAGGAAGTTAATAATATCTATAGATGTAAATCTTAAAAAAAAATTCAACAAGTTAAGCCAAAAACGTCATTGCATAAGAAACTGGCTGCCTATTTGCAAAATAGTCAGGTAAACAATAGGGCACACGAAAAAGGAGTAATTGTAGCAATAAAAGCATCATAAATCATATTTAAATCATATTTTTCCAACAATACCTCAATAAGTCAGATTTTAAAATTAAGTGAAACAAATTTCATTATCTTAATTTTTTTTCAGTGGATATCAACGTGATTCATTTGACATAACTGTTTACAGTATATATGTGTTACTTGTTCTTCTCGCTTGACAGGGATCTGAAATATTTACAGTTAGTGCCGAAGATGGTGATGTTGGAAACCCAAACCCAGTCATCTACTCGATAGATGAGGGTAAGTATTTGCAGAAAAAACAACAACAAAAAAACAAATAAAAAACAAATACTCTAAAATTAATAAAAACATTTTAATGTGTTTTTTCTCGCTTGTATCTCTAGGCGATGATGGTGTTTTTGGCATCAATGAAACAAGTGGTTCCATCTCCCTGCTGGTTGCTCCCATTTATCTGAAGAGAGAACTCTTTAACATTAAAGTCAGGGTAATGCAAGTCTTAAATAGCCAGTTTCAGCCAACTTGAAATAAAAATATTCAAGTTATTTGAAATACGGTATCATCTTTTTGTTTATTTTGTTTTTACTATGGATTTTTGTCTTCATTCTGTTATATCCAGGATCACAAACAGTTGACTTAGTGTTTTATGTTATGCGATCAAAATAGGTAACATTGTCTCCTTGCACAGGCATCAGAGGTAAGCACCGAAGACAAAAAATTGGACTATGAGGTGACAACAGTGGTGGTACGTGTGGTGGACTTGAATAATAATCCACCAACCTTTTATGGAGAGAATGGCCCACAGAATATGTTTGAGCTGACAATGTATGAGCATCCACCAGAGGGAGAGATACTCAGAGGACTGAAAATCACAGTTAATGACTCTGATAAGGTAGGAGACGCCTTGTGCAAATTTGGTTTTATTTTTAACACAACAGGTATATTTTGTAGTGGTAAAAAAGCATCACAATGACCCCATTATTCAGCTTTATTATGACCTTACTTTTGTGTAAGAACAATGATGTTGTCTAATCAACAACAGGTTAGATTAATAGTCATAGTGTGTTCAGAAACTTTAGGCCTGCTGTTATTAAGAATCACACCTCTTAGCGTTCCATGGCATGTAAAAATATGGCTAGAAAATCAGAAAGGTGCTTGCTCTGCTTATTATTGATTTATCCAAGTGGCTGTCTCAACTCTAAATTCCACATCTCCCATGCTTGCTCTGTCCCACTACCACACAGTAAGTACATATTGTCAATTAACGAGAATGGTTCCACATTCTCCATGACTAATCTGAATGTCACCTTCGACTGGCTTGCTTACAATCCTTCTATGTCAAATCACCAAACAACTCCAGTTTTCTGTTCCGGTGTGTCTGGCTTCAGCCTAACCCCTCCCGCAAGGTGTTGCTTTTCAAAGTCTCATTGTGGTGGTCTGGAACAGAATGGTCATTTAAAGGTGTGGATAATGTGGAATTAGATGGGTAGAAAGCTACATCACTGGATGATGCTGCAAGAATTTACTGACAATTGGAGCCAGATTCTTTCTGTCCATCAAAATCATGTTTCACAAAGAGTACTATTACTTAAGCTGTTATCCGACTCTTATTACTGTTGCAATCAAGAACACAATGTTTTTTCTTTGACAGAAAAGACAGTGTACTATAGAGATTATGCTGCTTTAAGAATAAAGAATGTTAGACTTTTGAATAGAATGATGATATTTATGAATGCTCCTGCAGGGTGCAAATGCCAAATTTAATCTGAGGCTGATTGGACCAGGGAGAATGCTCCGAGCCGTCCCCCAGACTGTGCTCAATGAGGCCCAAGTCACCATCTTAGTAGAGGACTCTGCTGCTATGGATTATGAGAAGCACCAGTTTCTAACATATAAGGTAATCTTTTGACACAAAAGTACAGATTACATTTTTCTTTATAAAGATATTTCTATAAAGCCTACTGTCTTAAAATGTCCATTAGTTAAGTAATTAACACTTAAAGAAATAGGTACCATGAATAAAACAAATTAAGTTAGATGCAATTTTGTGTATACCATAAGGACTAATAGAGCAGAAGGAAGCTGCAAAATTTTGAGGAAAAAACCTCAAATGTGGCAAGAGCATCAGTCTTGCTGCAAACAAAAGCTCTAATTTAAAAAAGTTATCACAATGTTTGTCTTTAATCAAATACCGCTCACAGAGAGGTTTTAACAGGTCTGAAATTAACATTGTGTGTGTGTGTGTGTGTGTGTGTGTGTGTGTGTGTGTGTGTGTGTGTGTGTGTGTGTGTGTGTGTGTGTTTTTAATGAAAAACAAAGAAGTAATATATTCATACCCAATGGTCAGTAAAATACTTAGGTAGTAGTCTGGTCAGATAGACCTAAGGATGTAATTACCAAAGCAGACTTTTCTATCCAGTTGAGTATCTTATACTGCTGCTATATGTCATTCCACTTTTTACACAAAATTTAAAAACTTGGTGTTTTTATTATTAGTATGCATTGATAAATAAATTGTTGCCAATCTGGCATGAACTGTATCTACATTTCCACATTAGTGGTAAATTTACTGAGAAAAATGTTGATTTTCCTTATATGTCCTGACTTTGCCTGGGAATAAATCAGTTTTTAATTTGAAAATAATTATTTGCCATTGTTTTTCATTTTCAGCTGCTTGCAGTTGAGATCGACACTCCAGAGAGATTTAGCGCTACAGCAGACATTGTTATTCACCTCCTAGACACCAATGACAACGCTCCTAAATTCTCCTCTGATTACTACATCGCTAGAATTCCCGAAAATTCACCCGGCGGCTCGAATGTGGTGTCAGTCACGGTGAGCGTTCCCTCATCTTGCCTAAAAATATCTGCTATAGAAGACGTACGTCACTGAGAGCTATAACGCAAAAGTGATTTGGACAAACTGCTCAACAGGGCCCTTTAATTCTCTAAATGTAGACTCTTTGAGTGGAGGGGGTTGGGATAATATGTGAAATCATGTAGATAAAAGCTAGGCGAGGTAAGCTGCCAGATGGCTATCACTTTCATTTTGTTGTGTAACAGCAAATTCGCTGGCTTCACTCCTCCACTCCCCACCCCAATCTCTCACCCCACCACCCAACATGGAGCAGGACACACAGCTGCAAAAATATGGATAAAACGGAGCCTTTTAAGGACATGCTGAAATGACTGATGTTTGCTGTAACTCATCAGGTGTGCTTGTCGGTACATATCAGCTCAACAACCACAGGGAGTCCAATTAATAAGTACTGGCCTTGAGCAAACACCACAGAGGCACTCTGACTTTATCCCTGTCAATTTCAATCAGTTAAAAGAACAGCCAACAAGTGACCTTGGATACATGGAGACAGTGAACAGACCACCCAGCAGCTGCAGTCGGACAGATTAGCCGAAGCCTAGGATAATATTCTGATATCAAAAAGTCATTGTCAGACCTAACCCTTGTAACATCATATACATAGCAAGCCACAGTTCATCAATATACTAAATTTAGCTGAATGTAATGAGAAACCTTTTTTTTTTTAATATAGAAAGATGAAAAATTGTTTTATATTGAGTTATCTTAAATAGAATATGCAAAACCAATCTATTATATCAAACACAGCATCTTTTAAATCTCTATTTTGTTGCTGATGTTGGTTTCCAGGCTTTAGACCCTGACTCAGGACCATGGGGAGAAGTCAAGTACTCTATCTATGGATCGGGGGCTGACCTGTGAGTAGAAAAGATCTGCAAACATTTTCATGAGGAACAGAAATAAAATGTATACTTTTACTTATACTACAATTAGCTGTTTTTAAGTAAGTCTCCAAAATGCAAATAAGTGTTGTGTGTAAGTACATCTGGATGCCATACATAATGTTTTGCATATTTTTCAAAAGCTTAATTCTGGTCTCCCTCCAACAGCTATAGGTATTTTGTGAAAAACCTACAGAACTGAGGGAGGAACCTCAGTTTTTCTCTCTTTATAAACAGATTTTTTTTTTCTTCCTTCATAAATACTTAGAAATAAAGGGACAAAATATAATCATCTCATTTAATTCAATCAAATAAAGGTTTTACTTTTTTTTTGTTTGTTTGTTTGGTTTATTATATTTGGTACAGATTTTGAGCTCTGCAGTAATGGGTTTAAGCCGATATGTGATGTCACATGGCATGGCAAGGGATTTCCAAAATAAGCATCAGCCAGAGATTTGGAACACTTAGGTTTATACGTTTGCTTAATCAGAAACATTTTACAATTGCAACTCCTCAGATTTTTTGCAAATTGTTACCTTAATGCTGAAATAACATGTTTCAGAATAGCTTTTTATATTTCAGAGGTTAGATATGTTTACAGAAAACAGTTGAGCATTTGGATACACACAGAGCAACAGTGCATATAAGCGTTTGTCTATTTTAATCCTTTAATGGGATTGAAAGAAAAAATAGACTGCTCTTTGCTTGTTGGTACATTGCACTCCAGCTAAATTCACTGTTAGTCAAGCTAACAAGTTTATAAACAAGAAACAATCCAACCTGACCATAACCGCTTTTCATAAAAACACAAAGAAATATGCCAAAATACTTTAAAAAACACAGAAAAGGCAACAGTTCAATAATCAGCATGAAAGACAGGCTGTTTTAATCTCATATCAACACTAAGCTTGTTTAAACTGTGATGCTTTGGAGCAATGTAATCATATTATTTCAATAAAACATGAGAATCCATCATATTTTCCACTCATCTATTTATTTTCTCTGCTTTTTGCAGAGATACAAATATCTATAATAAATTATCAAATTTATAAATCCCCCTGCTGTTTTATTGTCTATTTTAGGAGGGACTATGACAGACACCAACATTTTATAAAGTTAGTGTTTTTTTTGTTTTGTTTTTTATAAATAAAATTTTCACCTCAGTCTTTGGCCCCCTACACAGTTTTTTAACTTTCAATCAGCCAAAAAAATGTGTATGCTTAGTTGTGTGTATTTCATTGTATAAAAAGATTTTAAGAGGCAAGCTGCATAGGTAGGGAGACAGGGAGTTATTGAGAAATCTAAGGTCAAGATAAGAGAAAGCTCTAGCTGCATAATATCAGAGATGTGTGGCCAGGGATGAAGAGGATCACAGGCTTCAAGCAGAAGGATGATCAAACAGATGGAATTCTGGACAAAGCCACTGAACTGAAAACATTCTTGAACAAGTTTAGTTCAGGGACAAGCTTAGCATCCTTCTCTCCTGCCCACAGTCAAATGAACATGCTGCCCTCTTTTGACCCAAAACATTTCTCTAATATGTCAAATGTTCATCTTCCACCTCTGCTGAGATTCATCTTGCTTTCACCCATTTGTTTTCAACCAAATCAGAAGATGGTGCTGCTCCCTTCCCCTTCCACCTATCTACGTATCTCTGGAAGTCATGTGAAGAGGCAGCTGGAGAGACTGAATAACAACAATGCACCAGGTCCAGATGGTATTAACTCCAGTCCTGAAAGCCTGTGCAGATCAGCTCTGTGGGATTCTATACCACCTGTTTGACGTTAGCCTGACCCAGGAGAAAGTTCCAGTGATTTGGAAGAGGCCTTGTTCTGCTGCCAAAGAAAACTCAGCCAACAGTCTTAACTGACTGTAGACCTACTGTATTAAAGCTGATTTAAACTCAGAAACCAGGTTGTCTGCATGTGTGTCACAGTTAACGCAGATATGCCCCCGCCCCTTCCTCAGACAATCTGGCACACCTCTCCAAAATTGTAGGTGACCGCAGACAGTGCCGCAGGCAGGAGGCATCTGATTGGTCAAATCTACATCCGCTCTACTCTATGCGTATTTCCTGTTTGGTACCTTACCGGTACCAAAACGAGTGAGGTGCACAAGAATGCTGGGACCCTGTTTCCACCTGGATCCCCCCTCTTTCTCACCCTCATGTCCCTCCGTTGTTGCACAAACTTGCCCCCACTTCCTCACCGCCTCGGCTGTATCTAGACCAAGCAGCTAGTTTGTGATTGTCCCACTTGCGGTGTGGTGTGGAACAGAATAGCGCAGACCACATTTCAAAATTGGGCATAAATCAAAAATAACTGCGACATACCACCAACAAGCTCACTGCGACACTCTGCTGCGGGAGTATAATTAGCTCTTTAGACATCCAACATCATAAAGGGCATAGTGAAACTTGTTCTCATAACCCTGAGCAAACAAACAAGCAGCAATCAGGAAGCTCGTTGATCACCATGGAGTTGAAGTCAAAGGTATCATCAGACACCTACTTCAACAAACTCACTGTCATTTAGACAAGGCCGACAGAATTGTGAAGATAATGTTGTTTGATTTCTCAAGTGAATTTAACACGGTCCAGGCTTAGATACTGACAACTGTTGATGCCTCAGATGGAGGCATCAGTTGTCTGGATCAAAGACTACCAGACAAACAGATCACAGTAGGTGGGGCTGAACTATCAATGAGCACAAAATAAGCTGTGATTTTTTTTTTAAAAGCTGGATGTGTGATACATGGCTGCATTGTTCACTGCATACACAGCTGACACGTGAAAGGAGTTAAATTGGGAGATACATGGTTTACAGCCTTTAAAAATGTCGTAATAATGACCCAAGTTAAATTATTGCAAGTAGAATGTGACATCCTTGCTCTGCTAAATTCCCAAGACCATGAGTCCATATAAAATGGGCTGTATAGATAAACTTGACTTAAAGATTCAGACCTGGAAGGGTTACATAAATATGTGTCATTATTTGCAGATTTCTTATCCAGCCTACATCTGGGATTATTTACACCCAGCCTTGGGCAAGTCTGGATGCTGAGGTGAGATCTAAGTATAACTTCTATGTAAAGGCAGAGGATGCAGAGGGAAAGTATAGCCTGGCTGAAGTCTTTGTGACCGTGCTGGATCTGAACGACCATCCACCTGCTTTTAATGATAATTTCCTTGAGAAGACCATGGTGATTGGAGCCCCAGTAAAAATAGAGGTATACATCTTCTAATATAGATTTAACAAAATTCAGCCATACATGTTTTTTGGAGTAAGTAATAATGACTTCCCTACAGGCTGTAGATGATGACGCTGAGGTACCAAACAATGTTATTGAGTATGCCATCATGAAAGCTGATCCGGACAACAACATCTTTGACATAGACTCTGACACAGGAGAAATTAAGCTAAAGTCTTACATCAAGTCAATGGCTATCATTCAAAACATTACCAAGAAGAGAGACTGCAGCTGGTCCTTGGTGGTCCAGGCCCGAGATCGCGGTCAGCCATCCTTCAGCACCACTGCAGTCGTCAAGATCGACATCACTGAAGCTGTAAGTTGCAACAGTTAACATTAAAAGTGGGTTATTTGAATCTGCAAAAAAAAGAATTGTTTTGAAAAGCTTTGCATCAGAATTTACTTCATATACTTATATATTGTTTTTGTTATTTTAGCCATAGGTGTCTCACACATACAATTGTCATGTTTTCAGATCAAATCCAGATTTTTCTCATACTTCCTGGGTCTAAGGAAACGTCCAGGGGCAGTGTTTGGGATTTGTTTGACCCTCGTTATCTTTGCTGTCTCCCTGACAATCTTCATTTCAACCATTATTTACTGGAAATCTGTGAAAAAGACCCGTGTACAACCTCAGGGCAAGATCAGAAAGATTGTACGGAGGCCTGGGCCATAAATGAAGCTTGCCTTGAGATCATCAGCAAAGCCTCACTGTTGTTTTTACTCTGTGAAAGAATTTGCAGCTACTTATTTTCTGAAGATTTAGTAGAGCATGACTGTGTCTGTAAAAGAGTACACACAGGAGACCTTTTTTTGATCAAACATTTTTTATAACGTCTATATTAGGATTGGATTTTAGATAAATCAAGTTTTTTACTTTCATTGTAAGGATTTTACTCTCAAATGCTGGATGGTCTCAGCTACTGGTTCCTCCGTGAACCTCTCTGATCTTGTCTTTTCAAAACCTAAACGAGAGTAAAAAGGTGAAAATTAAACCCTGGAGAAACATTTCAAACAACAGTTTTGAATCATATATTATATGAATATGTCTCACCAACTAATTACTCAGTCTTACAGATCAGAAAATCTTTGTGTGGTTTTTCTCCAATGGATTTGAATTCTCCTTGTGCTCTTTTACAGACTCAACTCAAAGGGGGGCCTTTGGGATCATTGTTATTGCTGAATAGAAACAACCCTTTACAAATCATAGGTATGCTCGTCGCTATCATTAGCCTCATGGTGATAGTTACTGTCATCATTTCAACTGCATCATTCTTGCGCAACAAAAAGTCCAATCGCATCCTGCCAAATCGCCGTGTACGGAGAAGGCAGCGGAAGCAGCATTTCTGGAACTTCAGAAGCCCCTTTAAGTCATCAGAGACCCCGAAAGAGAATTTCACCATTCAAGAGGAGCAACAGGGGCCAGAGGTGATTGTGGAGAATGTCAACTACAATAACAATATTAGCAATGTTGTAAGACACTGGCCCCCACCACCTTGTGCCCCCGCTTTGCCCCCTCCACCACCCACCTATGTCCCAAGAGAGCGGCACTGGACCATACCCACAGTTTCTGCAACTGTCACCACAAAGCCGAAACAAAGGCCAGTTATAGACAGAAGGGACACTGTGAACAAAGAATTAGTTTCAGAGCTGAAGATGAGACTGCAGCAGAAGAAAATACATGTAACAGAGACTTGATATCATGTAAAAAAATAAGATTTTTTTTTAAAATGAGGTTCACATATAAATATTTTCATTACCTGCCATGCATGGATGTTATACATCATGGAGCTTTTGGAACAGTACAGAATTCCTCAGAGTGAAGGACGGCTGACAGATTTTTATTTGGACTCCCAGTTTAAGTTGATCTTGGCAAATCCTCCTGTGAAACTGTCCATACCTGTGGAATGCAATGCTATATAAACATATATTATATTTGTACGGTTTAACAAGATGGTTGATCAGTTAGGCACTGCTCGTTCTGCCATTATAAGGCCCAAACATACAGTACATGTGCTGTATCTAGGTCAGTTCACATCTTAACATGTATTTACCACCATGAGTCAGTTAACATAAGATGCTTGGACCCTGCAGAAGTTTTGTTTTTGTTTACTTTTGTCTCAGTCAGATAGTTTTCAGTGCAGCCTCAAAGTCAATGCATTTTTTTATATCCTTGTGATAACTTTAAGATAAACTGTCCAAATGAGAATGCCAGCAGATCTCACCTCATGGTTTTCTTTATCTGGTTGGGTGCCACAAGTATGTTATGTTTGCCCTCAGTGTGTAGTCAACACAATCACACAATAAGCCCTGCAGGTGCACATCAGCGGAGAGTCCTAGTGCACAGTAATAGGCAGCTACCTGATGATAGGTTTGATGCCACAATGCTTTGCAGTTCTTTGGATACTGTATATTATTGGATCGGACTAGGAGGTATGAATTACGCCTTAGCTTCCTGCTGCTGTTTAGGTTTAATAATTTTCCATGAACAAATTAACTTATTACATCTTTTTGTTAAAATTCACAAACTGTGAATAGTCTTTTTAAGAGTTGACTAAATCTGAGCACTAGTTCCTATCGGTTCTAGCCTTTAATTATCACCACAAAAAAAAACTTTCCCCTTTGAAATCAAATTGTCAAAATTAAATCAATAATGATTTCTTAGGGGGGGGGTATTCAATAAAAATTTAAAATAAAAATTATTTATTTATCCCAAAAATTGGAAATTTAAGTTTTGGTAGAGTCCGTCCAAGTAAAGTCAAAACATAGACATTGCAAGCTGGTGATGTGGTGTTCGAGGTCTTGCTGTCGTCAAAAGTGCTGACATTACACCAGTTATGAAAAAAAGAGAAAAGGATGACAATGAGTAGGAAAAATAAACTAAAAGTAGCAACACAGATACCAAACAACATTTTGCAGGGAAACAGTGGAGGTGGTGTGCGTATGTTTATATGTGTGCATGTGTTTGTGGGTGTGCATGTGAGAGTGTGCAAGGTAAGTCCATAAAGCACTGTCCCAGATGCAATTATCATAATAATAATAATAAAATATAATGTAACATTCATGAAGCAGCCGTACACTGATTATGTTCACAGATAATCTCAGAGAAAGGGAGGGGGCAGAGGGAGTAGGGCATCATGTTTACATGATATCCAGGAGGAGTTTGGAATATACGGCCTACCAAGGCCATAAAAGGAGCCAGATTTCAGAGAGAAATCTGTTTACCGGTTTACGATTTGGCTCCCTTAACATCTGAGTGGTAGTAGTCTGAGTCTTCATAGCTCTGCAGATCCCCTCACAATGGCCAGAACTGCTGCCGATATTGGAAAATACAATTTACAATTATGCATGCATCTTCTATGTCCTCGACTGATATTATTTTTAGACATAAAATTCTTCTATTTATGCCAGAAATGTATAATGTATCCAGAGAAAAATGTGCTTTGTGTCCAGGAGGGTTTCCCCTTACCTTGTCTGCCCATCTAGAAAATGTTATCAAGTGCATTGCAAGACCAGCTGACCAGATCCATAATACCCAGTTTTTGAAAATAAGCTTATATTGGTTACCGCTGGGACACAGGAAAATGCTACTTCTGGGAATTTACAGGGACTTATAGGTACTTGTCAGGATCCCCTAACTAAAACCACAAAAGAGAAAGTTCTCCTCTAGGTGAATATTAGGTTAGGGCCAGGTAAATGTAGAATATGGTTAGGGTAAGGGTCTGATTTAGGTCATACAAATGAATGGAAGACAAAACTTCCCATACTGTACCTGAACAACAACAAATTACAAAAGGTGGGTGTGGATGTGTGTGAGATCTGTCAAAGGGGTGTGAGTTTGAGTGATTGACTCAGAAACTTCAAATATGTTGTGAAGTCTTTTTGTATTTATATTCTAATTTAAGTTAATATCAGTTTAAGTCAGCAGCCTGTTATGTTCTATTTAAATAACATATTGTCATAAACAGCCATATGTAGTATTATTTTATTGAAATCTATCTTTCAATTAAGAAATATTATACGTATTATTTTATTTATTCATTTTTTTATAGTTCAAACATTTCTATGGTTGTGATAGCTGAAATCTTTTTGCCAAAATGATTTGTAAACTACTCCCTGACATCTTTGGCTCCTTGCCTGAAATTTTGGTTTTGGATATGATTAGGCATCTTCTGAGAGGTATAATGGCTCTTGATCTCAAGTAATGTTCAAGGAAGCAACTTAATGTGATCAAATAAGGAGAGTCTTTAAGCCTTTTGTACAAATGGAAAGTATTTTATCTATAATCATTAACCCTTTGAAACCAAGAGTACAACATTTAAAACAACTGTTTTTTTAAACCTGTGATGTTTTGTTCTTGAAAAACCTGACTTACATACATATATACATATATATATATATGTATCTGTCGTTGTTGTGTGTGGTTGAGGTCTTTTGTTGTGTGTGGGCTGTGTCAGGCCTTTAAATCACAAGTGTAGAGCTACTTATATGTATAACATCAATAATTAAACCAAATATCACATCCCAGTTCGCTTATAAAAGTGAAAAAAGTCATGCTCTGTGTATAGATATTGAGAATACACACGGGAGTTGACTTTGGAAAAAAAAAAAGCAGTATTGCAGAAAACACATCAGAAAAGATGTTGTTTGTTTATGGAAACCGCAATGTAAATTCCTGTACTGGTCTTGACATTACAACAAACATGTACTCTGTTTGAGCTGAACCCAAGTAACATGAATGATGAAATTTGCAGATTACCCCTTTTTTTCTAATCCAGAGAGAAACTTGCTCTTGGCTGAAAACCAGAAGTCTATCTGACCTGATCCTGTCTGAAATGGAATGACTTTTGAGACTGACCTTGTTGTTTCTGTACTTAAACCATTTAACATGCTTTCTTTTTGAAATACACAGCTGACAGTGCTTTTTATAGGGCTAGCAAGTTGGCATTTTTTTTTTGCTTACTATGTGGATGTTATGTTCCTAGTATTTATCAAATGATCCCCTATCTAATCTTATTTTCATATTTTTACTTGTATAGACTCTAAACAGAAAATGCTCTAACTTAAATGTATTGCTTCAAATGGTAACAAGTAATTGAATTGTTTGCCCAATTTTAATTATTTAATAGTTTAACTTATAAACTTAAATATTAATTTGATCAACTTGATTCAACTTCTTACCAATTGAAGCAGTTCATTTAAGTTGAAACTGCATTTCAACTTTTAAAGTGTTGAACACTGAAAACCATAAATCCGATTTCTGCACAAATATGCTCTACTGTGAGGTCCATTACACAATTTCAGAGTAAAATATATAAAGTTGTATTTTTAGTATGATAACATGTGAGAGAAACAAAAATGTGGGATATGAATACTTTTGTAAAGGATTCAATCTATTATCCTGTATGAATAATAGATTGAACCATGTCAAAGGTAACCAGGATTATGAGCTATATGAAAGGAGCTTGCAGAGCTTAAAGTTGCCTATGCTTTACAGAGAAAACATTCATGACTTTAAGTACATCTTAAATGTTTGAGTTTCAAACAAATAAAAAAGAGATGTTTCAATACTCACAATTATTTAAAGCCTTGTTACAGAGCACAAAATGTTGTTTTATTACAAAAAAGGATATATATTAAAGCTGTGAGGCTTTTGTAACAATAAAAGATACTGAGCAAAATAAAAACAGGCATTTACTTGTATTATGTAAAGATTAAGGTTTTTACAGCAAAGGTCAGCAACCTTACAGCACCCTAAAAGTCACATAACCACATATGAACAATACCAAAACATCTGCCTACCAGAAAAAGAGAGTTGCCAATCTCAGTCAGCTGTTTAAAACCTTGATCCCAAACAAATCCAAGCATGGCTGCACTGATCTCTTTACGTCACACTGGAAACAGCAGAAGGAGATGCAAGAGACAGGGGGTTGGTTTGTCTGATCTAATCATAAAGTGACGGATGTTAGAGAGGATGTAAGTGTTTGGGTATTATGTCAAATGAACAATGCCATTGGCTGTTGCATATCCCAAGTGCCATCTGTCCTTGTCGCTCAGTGCAAATATGATGTTTAGCCGCTTTCTCAGACAAGAGAGTACGCAAGAGAATAGACATGCATGCAAAATGCTTAAACAGAAATGTCATTAATTGTTATTCAATTTACAGTTTATAGATAATTAAATTTAAATTCTCTACAAAACCTTTATTTCTGTTAACCCTTAAATAGGCAGGAGTGGAAAATAAGTTGCAAAAAATAATTAAATTGTATCAATCATCTCTTTAGGCCCTAAGTAAAATATTTCAACATTCAAAATTTATATATATTCAATATTTTGGACTTTATGAGTTGTACCTCCCAGGATACGTTGCCCTATTAAGGTATAAACAGAGCCCCAATGATAAACATATTACTGTTCAATTTGATGAACATTGTTGTATTCCTTGGTCATTTACATTACACATAGCACTTTTAAAGCTGATTTTATTTATTTTTGCCAATACTGCGATCCATCTCGTTATGCTCCTCATCAGAGCTTTCATCCTCCTCATCAGAACTGCCTTCACTCACTGCCTCCATCTCATGTTGGCTGAACATTACTTCCTGATCTTCATCACTGTTTGACTCAGAGTTAGAAGAACTTGCAGGAATCTCCTCTATCACTCTCATTCCTGTGCTTCGCTTTCTTTTCCCATAAAAGGAACTAGCTGAGATGCCCGCTTGAAAATAAATAGATTTTTTTTTTAGTAAAATACAGTTATGCTGTTATAATGGGCAAAGCTGTGCGTGATCATATCTGGTACTGCAGTTATTATTAACATACCTTCCAGTTTGAAATAAAATATTGTATAATGCACATTGAGCAAATTTCTATCCCTAATCTGGCAATGTATCTCAGGGGATACATACATTTCAATAGCTGCTAAGTAACGCCACAAACATAGTAGGATATTTTTCTCTTCATCTGAATGTTTAGACAAATGCCTAATTAATTTTAGGAATTTATAATGATGTTTTATTGAAAATAAGTATGACTAATATATGATTACTTACCCCCAAGGAAGCAGGTTCTCCATCACTGGCTGCCATGATGTTTTCGGATCAGGCTGACAAAACGATGAAAGATAGCCTGAACCAAATTATGTGATCTAGATGCCAATACCAGTTAAGACTTTTGATAAATGCTAACTTGATCAGTGAAAACCTCCCAGCATACCCCCTACAGGATGTTAAAGAATGTGTATCTCCTGGTGCGCAGTGTCTGTTTAAGGGTTAATTGCTATGATTTTTTTTTTTTTTTTTTTTATGAAAACATGACATTTAAGTTTACAACACCAATAAAACAAAAATTAATATTGTAATGCAAGCATAATGAAATTATATAAAATAACAGCTGGTTGTTATTTCCAAGATGTACGTTATTGCAAAACTTTTTATTTCAGGAGAAAAACATTTAATCCTAGTTTTTAGGAAGTTAGGCTCCCTGGTAAAATATGGATGATCCCTATGTGAGTTGGAGAGGTAGAAGATTCTCTTCCCAGACACCTTCTCCAGCTTCTCTGGGGGGAAGCCTGAGACATTCCCTCTCCAGGAACAGGACCTTGTGCCTCCTCCTGGTGCAAAATACCTGGAACACTTACCAAGGGACGCACCATTTATTGGCAATAAATTCCTCAGCAACCTCAGGGACTCCTCTTAATATAGGTGTACTCCAAGCCCCTCCCAGGTGGCTGAGCTCCTAGCACTATCTCTAAAGAAGCATCAGGCCACTCTGGGGAAGAAGCTAATTTTAGCGACTTGTATCTTCCAGATATGGACCAGGCAGAACAGATTGCAGCACTTAATCCAGACCTTCTACAGAAATGAGGGGGGGTTACTGGTTCTCATCATCCCCAACTTTGTCTTCCTGTTGTCATAAACTAATTCTCAGGCCTTTATAGTGTTTTTCTTTGGAAAAAAAATTAAAGGGGTAGTTTGTAGACCAAAAATATTGGTTTGTTATCCAAGGGCAACACAGAGCCATTAATAAGCCTTGTTGGAAAGCTTATACTAATGTATTGAGTATGACTCTACATTTCCAATAGAAAAATGAATAGGATTTAAGAATAGTGATTCAGTCTTCTCATGGTTTAGACAATCAGCAAATGTATCCTTTTGATTTATAAATCTGAGAGGTTGAGTTAGAGAATTACCATACATCTAAAATAAAGGTATTTTTTCATAACTCTAATTCTGTATAAAACATTTTAATTAGATTTGAATGGTTGTGTTATTGCTTTTAATAATGGGTCTTATAAATAATAACATTTAAAGTGACACATTTTGTCTGCCAGTACAACAAACACTTATGTCCAGAGAGTTTATTTTCTAATATCAAGCAGAGATCAATAGCTGGGGTTAGGAAACTTGGCAAGAAGTGCTGAAAAATATTATTTACATACATTTTACAGTTTATATATCATGATTAATCAATCAAAGTGTCAAATTCAAACATAAATTCAATGCTTGGTTTATTTATTTATTTATTATTTTGACAAATGCAAAATGTTTCTTGAAAAAAGCTTGGTTTTAAGTGAGTATACCCTTTATGAGCAGGTAATATGTACAGAGATAAATGCAAATGTTATTTTAAGATTGAATTGCTAGCTATCTGCTAGGTTCAAATAACTCAAAGTTAAACTTTATTACCCAAGAACACTGTGGCAAGTTTAAACATGGTGGTAGCAGTATTATGCAGATGTCCGTGGTAGCGCTACAAATACATCGCAGAAATGCTTTGGTAAAAGGAAAACTAAAGCCAGAAATGTCCACAATACCAAAGGCAGATGTTTAATTTAGCTACTCTATGAAAAATCATATAAAAATAATATATCATATGAAAAGAAAACATGCACACATCAGTCAGAATTTTCATTTAATACAGTGGTGTAAGCTGACCTTTTTCTTTCTTATATGTTTAAATTGTGACACCAGATAACATAACCCTGCAATAAAATTCATATTCATTTTAATCAACATTAAATTAACATGTATATTAAATAGCAAAATGTGAAATCAAAAATAAACCAGTACATAAATGATGAGCAGAAAAACATACACAAAATAGAATTTGATTATGTGCACGTTGTCTGTACTGTTGCAAATCCTTGAAATACCCTTTTGACCCAACAGTCATCTTTCACATCTTTGCAACAAACTCCTTGCCCTAGAATAGAGGAAGAGATATAATTAAAACAAAACCAGGAAACTGGGCCATTGAGCTATACTGCAGAGTAAATAACCAGAAAACACTTTTTTGTTTGCTTTGTTTATGGATAAAAATAATGCTGCAGCTAAAATGTAATGATTTGGTGGTGAAAAAAATTTTGAAAATAAACATTTATTGAACTTGCTAATAATGAATTGAAACAGAATAATCAAGAAGGCATTTTAATGAGTAGTGGACTTTTACGAAAACTTCAGAGAATAGGTGTAGAGTCTTACAGTATATTTCCTACCATAAATTAAATCCTTTGCTCTCTGGCAGATATTCACAACTTAAGAACCTCCAGCACATATTTGTGCCCTCCACCATTTGTATTTTAAACAGCCCCCCTTTAGCTTATCCAAATATTATTTTGTATGCAAGGTTGGCTGTGCAAAAATGACCAGTGTAAATATGACTTTAGTGATATGAGGGGGTATACATTTTCTAATTTAGTTACTTCTCAGACCAGGACAACAAAACAAATTTCTACATAAAGGAGTTTTACAACAAATTGTTTTTTTTGTTTTTTTATATACCAATAAGGCAATGTCTAAGAATGTGAGGATAACTTTAGTGAAATATAAGAGTCTAACATTGAAAATTCTAGGGGGAAAATCAACCATATATACTGTTAATATTGATGCAATTATAGGGAGGCCAAATGTGTTTTGTGTTTCAATGTAGACTGCTCCCTTACTCACACATACTTACTAAATGACCAGAATATGAAAACTACAAAATGGTTAACACCTGCCAAATTAAAAGATTTTGAATGTTTATTTCATATCAAAATTTACTCCATCTGCATGTTTGGCTAAATTATTATACTTAAACCTATTCCTATATAGAGTGGTATAGATTTGTTTAACTTTGCCATATGCAGAACTCTATAGCTGAATTGTAAAATAATTCATCTGTAAATAATCTCAATTGAATTTTTAATCTGTTTCATAAATACAAGGATAAGTTATAATACCTTAATTAAATAGCATTTTTTCATACGTATAATATACGGCTTCAGAAAATACATATTTTTGCAGCAGGTCTATAAAATCACAAAAACCTCATAAATAATCAATTACAGATTTAATCGTATTATGGATTAATTCTGTAATGTCTTTAAGGTGATGTCTGAATGAAAATGTATCCACTTAGAGAATGTAATGGTTAATGTAAGCATTTAAAGGCTATTCATTTAATATAGTTCAGCAGTAAGTCTGCTCTGATCAGCTTTGCTTTTACGTAATCTATCTTCGGACCGCCTCCTCACCTTTCTGTCGTCATTGAAATCTTTATTGACCAGCTCCTCGTCACTGGCGGCCTGTAGGCTGTCAAAAGTGCCCTGTCTTTCCCGCTCCATCCCAGGCAAGCTGCTCTCTCTCTGTCGCCTCTTCCAGGTTTCCATAATGATCTCAAAACAGGGAAATCGTGTGTCGGTGGTGCAGGCATACATGCCTATAGGCACGGCCAGTACCATAGCTAAAACTATTACCACTATATGGATTAGCTTCTCCCTCTGCTCCATTTCAGTGATGTCACTTCCTGTTACAAACACAATGCACTGGCCAGGCCGCGGTATCTGGTTCTTTAGAGTTACACAGATTTCATACTTGGTGGCGGGCATCAGATCAGAGATGGAGTAAGAGTGAATCCCAGGCCCAATGTAGGTCATTTCTTTCTTATCATCTGCCCGACCAAAGTGGATGACAAACCATGTTTCGGATGGGTGTTCTAGGGCAGCGAACCATTCAATAGAGATTCCACGCACTGTCTGTTTGGCAATGCGAATATCAATGAAGACATTTTGATCAGCACCACCCGATGAAGCTGGAATGCCTGGGATTCGGGATGACACAGCACCATCAGCAGAGTGGACATCCAGGAAGACATTCACAGAGGAGTTCCCAATGAAGTTTACAGCAGTGCAGGTGTAGACCCCACGGTCTGCTGCACTGAGAGATGGAATAACGAGGAGGGATCTAATGGTGTCATCAGACACTCTTTCTTGGGACTCTGTATGAACATAAAATTAAAAACATGTCATATAATGCGAAATCAGATTATTAGAAAATGCAATGTACCGTATAACTAGTTGATGTTAACTGTATTAAGGAATTTATATTTTCTTAATTTCTAAAATCTGTGTTCAAACAACCCTTGAGTCGTAAACTTTGAAATTATTCTTGCACATTTTGTACAGTAAAAATAAAAGATTGATAAAAGTTTGACTTCAAATAAGGTTGCTTTAACAATACTAGGGCTGGTGATAAGAATAGGGAAGACATGGAAAATTATTCAAGGGTTGCCCTGAAATTTGTATTTGCAGAATGTATTCCATAAAATCACTCCAAGTTATCTTATAAAATATGCTTTTGATCTTTAACAATGGAAACCATATAATGGACGGGAAATATCTCCTTATAAGCTTCTGTTATTTAACTGAAGAAATCTCTCCATGACCCGAGATTATGTAAATGTCACCACTTAATTTTTCTACCGTCTTAAATAATGGTTTGTATATACAGATAAAACTATTTTAATCTTAAAAAATCATTAGATGTGTTTTTGATTAAAACGAAAGTTTAAGTATCTAATTTATCACCATTTTATCGCCTTAGCTGCTGTGTAGCTGACAGTCCATCCCACTCTTACCATGAAATCCTCTGATTATCTTCAGTCCATATGTCCACCACACAGCAGGATCTGGCCTTGCCTTGGCGTAACAGTGCAGGGTGACGTTGGATCCCTGATGCAGGGTCATATTCGCCTTCGGCGTGCTGACCACGGGTTTCGTGCATGCCTGAATCTCGATCTCATGGAAGAACTTCCCCGTCCTAAAGTCCGGTCCTGAGCAGGTCAAGTAGGAATTCATCAGTATGATTGGAGGACTCAGGGACATAATAAACTCCACTAAGCCCTTCAGGCGGCAGTCGCAGAGCCAGGCGTTGTCGTGCAGCGCCAGGACGACGTTTGGCCTGGATGCAGTCGCTTCTCGCCCCTCCGTGTATTTTTGCATTTTCTGGTAGAGAGGCCAGTTCTGGAAAACTTCCTTCGATATCACAGTTAACCGGTTGAAGGATAAATCTAAATATGTGAGCCCCGGTAGAAATTTGAGGGCATGCTCTGGGAGAACATCCAGCTGGTTGTGTTTCAGGTCCAGGATTTTTAGCGTCGGTGTGTCCTCGAACGCTGTCCATGGTACTGATCGCAGTTTGTTCCCTTGCAGACGAAGCTCCGTTAGATTCCCCAAACCTTCCAGACCCTTCGAGTTTATTACTGTAATATCGTTAAAGTTTAGCCACAAGTTCTCTACTGCTGGGGTTTTGGAAAAAGCACCTCTGGGGATTTCAGTGAAGTGGGATTTTTCTATACGTATTTTGGTCAGATTTTCTGGAAGGTTCTCAGGTATCGCTCCAAAGGCGCCTTCCTCCATACATATGAGTGACCTACGGAAAAGCGTATTTAATTATTTAGAACTTCCTACAGTCAAAACACTACGACAGCGTCGCAAATTGAAATGCTAACATTTTTTTTTAAAACGCATCTAAAAAAAAAAATAAAAATAAAAAAAAACATTCGGACAGATAAACAGTTCAGGTCTTACCTTCCATGACGGTCATCAATACAGCTGCACCCAATCAAACATCGAGAAAAGCTTTCACACGATTCAGTTTTAATTAAAACTACAACCAGTACGTAAAGAATTATGTCCATGGTCTGTGAGGAAGTTTAAGGTTCACATTCGCACTAGAGATGTCCAAGGCAACAGAAAAGAGAAGCCTATTAGGCTTAATCCCTGACATTCTGTCCAGGAACAAGCAGCATCTAATTCTTTGGAAAAGCCCTGAATGATTAAGATGCTGGCTTCAATTCAGGTATACCTGAAGTCTAGGTCAGGGAAAGTACGTGAATCCAATATGAAGGTAGCTTATTTGTATGTAACTTAAACCTTTAAACGTTTTTTTTTTTTTTGTTTTTTTGTTTTTTTGTTTTTTGTTTTTTCAAATTAAAAATTCAAACTTCAGTGTATTTTATTTTTAAAATATTAGGTGTTTTTGGGGCGTGCTTTCTTTTTAAGCCTCTTTTACTCTGAACCACCTGAGTAAACTCCATTGCAGCCAACTGGGCTCAGAACTCACCAAGCTAGAGAATTATCTCCATGCATGGAATTTTAATTTAAGTGTGATATCAGCTGTTGTGCAAATCCATAAAATAACTTACTAAAGGTGGCTTGGGTATCTAATCAGGATGCCTCCTGAACACACCTGGGAGGAGACATTGTGTAAACCCAGATCTCACGAGAGGGACTACATCCCCCCTGGCATTGAAAAACTTTGAGAATCAGAAGTAAAAGAAGGATTATAATAAATGGAGATATTTTGGTTTCATTCCAGGCGTAAAGTATAAAGCAGGATACAACAAAATTAATGGATAACAAGCTTCTGACATTCCACAAAAGTTATGTTAAATCCATCATCAGAAAGTGTAACTATTATGATACAACCACTAACCTCTTGAAAAGAAAGCATCCTTCTACACAAATAAAATAGAAGAGGAGAGCATGATAGCTTTTGATTATGTCCTTCCCAAATCTGGTCATTTGGACAGAGTGGTGATAAGGAAGGCATTGTTAATAGAAAGCTATAACAGGAAACAATTTCTGAAATTTGGAGGGCTGAATCTTAACACGTGCCACACTTTTCTGATTTCATTATCTAAAAACTATCTCTCCTCTTCTACTCTAATTACAGTTCAGCAATACTCCCCATTGAAACATAATATTCCCACTTAAATAGAAGTATATTTATTTATAGAGCCAGTTGCAGGAGCTAATTTGAAGGATTTGAATTAATCTTTTATTGGCTAACTAGAAAGAAAGTGCCACTGTATTTATTTATGACTATACTGTATATGCTTTTGAGTCAAAATACAAATTATCATTTTTTTAAGGTTATTTTTCTTTTTTTGTTTTTCCTGTTATTCTTTTTTAAAGTTGACCCATATGCTCTTACAGTAAAAAATGATATCAGGAATGACTAATACTTTCTTCTTTTAATATAGGAAAAACAAGTTGCCCCTAAAAAGACGATTAAATGGTTAAGAAATGCTACTTTTTAAGCATAAAACATGAACATGATAGGTAAAATCATCTGCACTGTAAAAAAAAAGCTAATAGATTGAAATAATAATTTAATGACTGAGGCTAAGTAACTCACAACGATGAACACACACATTGTCAGATACATTTATATAAAACTTTATTTAACAATCTTTAACTGGTTGGTATGATTAGAATGAGCAACTCTACATTAGATAAGGGTAATGATGCCTCTAAATGGCTACAAAGATTTTTATCTTTCCATCGTTGGGGGATAAAGTGTTTAAACTTTCCATCTCCATCGTATTTTGTCCTGGTTCAGTCCTTTTTGTACTTCTTTCCAGCTCCAGCTGCCCTCTTTTACCAGTGTGAAACCATGCCTATGTGCATATCTTCTCTGTGAACTTATGATAGATACATACAGAGGCACAGAACTGTAAATGTACAATGTTCAGTAGCTATTTACATAATCATACAGATACATATAAACAATGGAGTCTGTGCCATTGTCTTCCCTTTTTATTTCAGTTTAGGTTGAAAAAGCTGTATTGCTGGGTCATGCTTGTGACTTCAAATGTTACTTTTTCTCCTTAAATACTTAGTGATGCAAACATCATTCTAGATGTAAAAGTAATTGTATCTATTAATGAATAGATGGCTTCATAACAGTATTCTGAGCTTTTGCAAGAAAAGCTGAATTTTTAGAACTGTCCAATTTTTTTAAACTGAGATTTCCATTACTGTGCAGCGTGCAAATGTCCTTTGACAAAAGCTGGGTCTCTGTGGTGGTGGAGTTGGTGGCATTATCCAGCGAGGAGGAACCGGTGGAGGGGAATCCCACGCTGTGAGTATGTGGGATTGTGTGGGAGGGGGACTGACGTCAGGATGTTGTATAGAATGAGAGTAGGGGTATTGCTGGGGATATGGGCCTGTGTGGAGATTTGGGCGGTGATAAGAGTGGTCCAGATGGGCATTGGCCTTTGGATTATTGTGCAGATGTGGGTGAGTGCGAGGCAGATGGCGTGGAGCAGGAGCCGGAGCTGGAGCATGACGTCAGCAGAAGTACTCGTTAGGCTGTCCTTCGATCTTTGCTGTTGACTCTGAGTCCAAACTTGAGCGGGCGGACAGCAGCCTGTTCGACTCCTCTTGGTTCAGTCTGTTTAAGTACTCAGCCTCAAGCCCTTTGGCCTTCGTGCCAGGGGATAACGTTTCAAAAGTCACATATGAGTCTTGGATGTCTTTAGATTTCTTTCCCCAATATTTTTTGATGCGCCTCTTCAATGCCCCACAACAGACTATCACAGTGAGTGGGACTGCAATGACACAGGCCACAGTGATCACAATCACATTGATCAGCTTTTGGGTACCTGTTGCACTGGCAGCTTCATCAGTGGAAAATATCACACACTGTTCCTTCCTTGGAATGAGTCCTTTAACGCACACGCAGGCAATGTATTTTGTCCTGGGCACCAACCCATCTATAGTTACACGGGTTTGCCCCGCTCCAACATTGATCTTTCTCATGTCCCGCTCTCCAAACACAGCATACAGCACACTGAAGGCAGTTGTGTTCTTTGCTTTAGGTGCCCTCCAGTTCAGAGATATTGTATTGTCCGTATCACCCACAACTTTCACAGAACGGACCACTCTGTCAGGGTCCTGCTGTAAGGATGAAGTGTTGGCTGCTAGGTTACTAAGATTAGTCTTTTCTAGATCTAGCAGTGCATCTGCGTTCGGGGAAGCGAAGGAATCCGGGCTGGCTCCATCAGTTGAGGTGTAACTGACCTGTTCAGGATCAGGGTCTGGAGCAGGTAATATGTCAGAATCCATTTGGGCAAAAGATGATGAGGTGGAGGTTGGAACTACATATCTGGCCACTAGTTTCTCCTGGTACGCTGCTTTACCCACTGGGTTTGGCTTCTTGACTTTGACTTTTTTGTCTGTGTTTGTCAGATTTCCATCTGATTTTGGTGGGTTAGACACAACGAGAGAAATTACAGCCTCTGCATTCCCTGCATAATTTGATGCCTTGCAGATGAATTTCCCCGAATCACGATGGGACACAGCAGGAACACTGAGGATGGACCAAGTGATTCCTTCCTTTGATGTTTCCTGTTGGACTGGAGTGGCAGAGAAATAGGGAAAAACCTTAATGTGCAATTATGAAAAAACAACAACATTCTAGAATTTTAAATATTGCATATGAACAAAAGTCTGAATACAAATCCCGGCAGATAAAAATAAAATCATGCAAGACAGCTTATTACGCAATGTCCATTAAACAATTGTCATCTGTGTTGCATAACTGTCTGTAAAGGCTACAACTGTCAAACAGACTGACAATCCAGCTGACTTCAGTGGTAGTTGTTTAATTAACAACAGTACTAGAGAGTTGAAAAATCCTCCAAACAGATGTTTAAAGGGATGAAAGAGCAGCTTGTCAGAGGACAACAAAAAATAATATACTCTTATAAAAATGTACAGCTATCCAGTAAATTGTGTTCCTTTTTTTATTTGTTTTTTTTTTTTTTTTATCTCTGATCAATTGCTTTTAAATTTCCTGTATGTCAAATGTGGAGTGAACAGTCCACATGCAGCAGTATTGCAAATTTAGAAATCATGCAACTGGTTTGGGGTTCTGTTGATTTTACTTCAAAATAGCTATTCTTTTTATTTCCATGCATACCTTGTCATAAGAGCCTTTTGTTGATAACAGTGTAAGCACTGATAAAAGTATCAAATAACGGTTTCCAATTTGGAAAATTGAGTATTTCTACTGTGTTTCATAATTTCTAAATAGTAGTCTAAAATACTTTGATCAGACCTGTACCAGGTTATTCTGCCATTTAGAATTAATTAAAGTGCATTTCGAAATTTATAAATAATATTGAAAAACAATGAAACTTAGACTTAGACAAACTTTATTGTGATTTTGTATACACAGAGTATATAAAAAAAAAACTAAATTTCTATCTCTACAAAAAAAAGACCAATCCAAGTTAGGATTGTATAAACTTATTTATAAATTTATCAAAACTATTTGTGGAGTATAAATTATCTATCTGTGTGTAAGATGAGCAAAAGGAAAGGTTTGGCCAAGGCAAATCTGCAAGGTTGAGGCCTGATACAATAGCAAGCTAACCTGTTCCATTAAGCATTTGTCCATCAGCCCTGCGCCACGTCAGATCTGGTACTGGTACTCCAATGGTCCCACAGCGGAGCAGAACATTGTTCCCAACAGCACTCCTGACTCGTGCCACTGCCGTGTGGATACGTGGGAGCTGACATTGGCGAAGCTCTACATCGCTGAACAAGACTCCCGAGAGGCTCTCTGGTGCTGAACATCGTAGCCTTGTGTCAATAAATGCCACAGAAAGTGTGGGAGACTTCTGAAACTGGACCAGATCATAGAGCCGGCAGTCACACACCCAGGGGTTGTCATGGAGACCTGAGGGCCAGGACGACACAAGGACACACTTTAAAAGGAGACAGATGAGTCAAGCTGTGGGAATAGGAAAAGAGCAGCCTGCAGATTGCTTGTGACTGTGATGCTATGTTGATAATCCTGTAAGAGGATTGACATTTAATTCAGAAACTACATCATAGCTATGATTATGGCAATAATGGTAATGATGATGATGATGATCATGATGATGATACTGACAGAAAAAGTACTTTTTCCTTATTGTTTTCCATTTGCTTTTCTTCAGAATCACACCTGAAAAGGGGTTATAACTTTTTATTAAACCTTTTTTCTTTTATAACAAATGTACTCTTTATATTTTTGAGGTCTAAATTTAAACTCAGATCACACATATGTCTTAGAGATTGATTGATACAGTTTTTTTTTTAAAGGTCGATGCTGATATAAATTATTTTTATATCAGTCAATCAATGTGAAATGCTGATTTCTTTAGGCTGATTTATGGTGCAAATGTTGCATTTTCTTGATCTAGTTACACAATAAGAATCTCACAATGACAAGAAAGGATACAAGATTTTCTCATTGCCTAATGAAACCTTTATAAATCAAACAAAACATTAACAATGGATAGCAGACAGACAGAGTTGAAATGTATGAGATTCAGGTGGTTTCACGTCATTGCTGCTGATTACAAAAAATGAATAAGCAAACACAAGCACCTATTGGCAGATACCAATACAGAAAAAAATTAAATAAGAACTGGCCAAAAATATTTACTGGCCAATGTATTAGTCTATTGCTATTACGTATATGCTCATACATTATCTTACTATCTTAACTGATGTTGTCCAAAGAACTAAAACAGTTAATTCCATCATAAAGGCTATTTTGTCTTCTGCTGTCAGTTACTAAAGTCAAAGGCAATATCTTTTCATGAATACAAATTCTTAAAAATTTTTAGTCTCAAAACAGCTCCCTCTCCAAAAAATATTGAAATTGTTTAGAATTAACAAAATGGTTCCATAATAAATCAAGGTCAGAATGCAGCTGAGCTGCTGCTTGACAAATAATATGTAAGCAAGTCGCTACTAAACACAGTATAAATGAAATCAAATGTGATATATATATAGAAGTTTTGCCTTTTCTTCCCTGGTACCTCATTATGGTGACTGTTAATGATAAATTTAATTATAGGCAACAGAAAGTTAGATTTTAAATTTGTATGCAACGTTTACTTTTCCATTTATTCATTGGTGAAGTAATTGACTTTTTGTGACCATTTTATTTATTTATTAATCATCATCACAGATCTTGATCCAAAAAATGTAAGACCTGCTTTCAATTTGCTGTGGCACCCCATTGTTATCATTGCCCATTGTCATCATTGACATAATTGCCTCCCATATTCGTGCCTCCAGTAAAAAAATATATATAATATATAATGATAAATAAAAAATAATCTAATTGTGTATTTCTTACCAAGTATCATCTTGGAGCTCTCTGGACCTTGCGTGGGCTTCACTGCCAGCCAGTTGGTCAGCACCTCCATTGGCAGGGTCATCAGGCTGTTGCTGGAAAGATCCAGGTAGGTGAGGTTCTTTATGTAAGTGGTTGCTTCCCCGGGCAGTGATGTGAGCTGGTTGTTGTGCAAATCAAGAAGTCTGAGGCTGGGCGTATCCATGAGAGACTCCCAGGGAAAGGCAGTGAGGGCATTACCGTCCAGACGAAGCTCTTCCAGGTTGAACAGTCCCCGAAAGCTTTCCGGGCTCAGATCGGACAGGGTGTTGAAAGACATCCAGAGGAATTCCAGACTGGAGAGGTAGCTGAATGCTTCACTTGGTATCTGCTGGATGGCTGTTTTCTCGATCCGCAGTTTGGATGTGTCAAAGGGGAACCCGACTGGCACAAGCGACATGTCGGGATCATTGCATATCACGCTTCTGCAATGGGAACACAAACATTTAGAAAATGCATTTAAATATAAGATCTAAAGGTAGACTGAAAATTAAATTATAAGATTGCTTAAATAAAAAAAAAAAAACATGTTCTCAGACCAGGTAAAACAAATGCTTAAAATGCTTAAATGTAATTAAAAACGGGAGCGCAAATAACGTGTTTATATTGTATCAGATCAAATTTGAGATTAACTCTCACAATCATAGTTTGTATACATATTTACAATTCACTTCTGTTAAAACATCTGTCCTCAAGTCTAGATCTATAACCACCCGAAGAGATGCGCATAAATTAGGCACTGCCTTTAGTTTGTTCTCTAGTTTCCTCACCTGGCCTTGGATCCGTCACTCAAGTTATGGTAAAAACAGCTGCACTGTGAAGGACATGAGCTCACTGGGGAGAAAAGTTCCAGCGTGGCTACGCAGAGCCCCAGGAGCAGAACGAGGAACATCCTGGTCCACTTTTACGCATACGCAGTGTGCCTGTGCGCCCAGTTTGCGCCTCGCTTAAAACAAACAGACTTACTTTTTGTCTCTCATGTAAAGGACTATCGCCCGCATGGCTGTGCTCCACCACTTCGCTTCCCCATAGTGATCAGACTGCTGTGAGTCCCGAGATAAAAAGGATAGACTGGGATTAGGGAAAGAACTGGCGTTCGTTTCATTTTGATGCGTATAGCATCCCGGGATCTGATAGGCTGCGTGGAGACGTCCCTATTTATCATCAGTAGAAAAAAACACTTCCGAAACGATCATAATCCAAAATGATGTATTTTTTGCCCTCTCCATTGAATTGTTGCTCTTCATTTCAGCCTTCCTGTGACATGCAAGAGTAAATAAATGGGGTTTGCCACATGCTGACCCGCAAGTTATCTAGAAATCAAAACCTTGGTGCTTTTGCTCTAAGGTTTGAATGTATGATTTAGATAATTTGGCATGGCTTGCGCCCAGAGGTGAGCAGAGAACAAAAATGTTGTACCTATGTAAGAGTTGCACTACTTCATCATATTATTACTTAACTAAAAGTAGATTAATGCTGTAAAACTACTCCCAAAAGTACATATTTTTCAAAAAGTTACTCAAGTAAATGTAACTGAGTAAATGTAACTAATTACTACTCATCTCTGCTTACACCAATAGTTTCAAATGATAATATAAAAACTTTTTTTCCTGAATTGTTAAAAAAAAAACATTCCATTATAACTTTGAGAAAAATTAAACCTATAAATCCTATACAGCTAACTTGTCTCAAAGTCCCTAAGTAAGAAAAAAGTAAAAAATTGATGACCTTAAGGAATGATTCAATCTTAAAAGAATATATATTTCTTATAACGTTGCATTATAATAAACTAGAATATCACTAAAACAAGGTAATTCATTACAGCAACATTTTTTAAGAAGTTGATTTCACACTTTAATTTTCATACAAAGTAATTTGTATGATTTGTAGCTAATAATGAACTATATTAGATTTCTAAGAAAAAAGAAAAGGAAAATAAAACTACTGGAGATCACAAATAAAAGATTTATGACACCAAAATATCAACTAACTGAAAATTGTATTCATGTAATGTACATTATATGCATCAGACTCCATTTGGAGCATTTACACACCACTGAGAAGAGTGAGCAAGGCTTAATATCCAAGGCTTAGTAATCAAGATAAATACACAGTCTGTTCAGAGTGACAGCTTGTGCATTTCAATAACAGCAATGGGAACAAAACTGTTTTAAAATGTTCTGCCTGACAGTTACTGCCCAGAAGGAAGATGTTGGCATTCTCTGTAAAGGGGATGATACCTATTGTGCAGGGATTAGGTTTTTTTTTTGGGGAACAATCAGACATTAACATGGGATGTCTTTCTTTCAAAGTTGTGAGACTAGACCATTGCACCTAAAATTGGTTAAAACTGATCGAATAAAAGCGCAATAAAACAGGGTCAATATGGTGTAGAGTTCATTAGAAAGGCAAAGTTTCCTTTAACAGCATAGATGCTCATACCTTTTCCCATACAGACTAACTGCAAACTTTTAAGTTCAATAAATTGTCTGAAATTATCCCAAGATATTGGTGGGAGCGCACACTCACAGTAGCCAGACCTTTAATCAAAATGACTTTGCACTTGTGAGATTTTCCCCTGAAATGATAATGTCTTCTCAGCATTTAGTAGGAGTTAGGACTCCTCATATCAGGCATCCCCAAAGTCGGTCCTCGAGGGCCGCTGTCCTGCAGGTTTTAGAGGTTTCTCTGCTTTAAGCACAGCTGATTCTGATGATTGCAGTTCAGCAAAAGCCTGTTTATCAACTACCAATGTAAATCAGCGGTGCTGGAGCAGGGAAACCTCTAAAACCTGCAGGACAGCGGCCCTCGAGGACCGACTTTGGGGATGCCTGCCTCATACCAATGAACACGATCATTAGTCACCAAATTTTGATGGCTTTAAGTCATCTGAAGAAAAATAACAAAAGAATCATACCTTATTGATGCATGTATACAGAATAGAGGGCAGGGGTGGCAGCACAAAGTGGAAGTAGACTTTATATCTGAGAGATAGCTCTTTACTATCACTCTCTTTATTGTTAATTAGGAAATAAAAAATGCAGACTATGATCATATTTCTAAAGAAGTCCTCTAAATAAAATATGTATTTGAAACTAAAGAAAAATCCCAACATGAAAGTTTAGCATGTGGATCACTAACATTTGAATGATTTGAATGAAAAACCAGGTTAAGCAGAATCAGGGTTGTGCCCTATGAGGCCTGTAAGTAAACCAAATAGGACCTAAAAGATGTTTGGTCTGCTTTAAAATCTCACATCTACTTAACCTTAAAAAAGGTTTCCATGAAAACAAAGGTCAGAGCAACAGTTGTGGTCTTAACGTACAGTTTTAATAAAAATGGTTTTAGGGAAACTATCTAAGCATCTGTTAATATATTTTCAATTAACATCTGAAGCAAAAAATATTTCTTGCTGGAAACAACAAATTCTAACCCATAATGCAAACTGAATTATCCTCAATAGATTGAAATTTCAGATGATAAAAATGACAATAATGCAGCAGCAACAGATTTGACTTCTCCAAGTCAACCAACCTGATTTATAAAAAAAGAATTATAACAATGATAAAAATACCTTTTACATTCATAACACGTGTGAGAATAAGTTACACTGAACCCTATATGTCTGAAAGAAGCTTTAAACCTGTTAACCAGTTATGTCCATGTAGCACAAAAGCAAATAATTGTGTGTAGCTAAGGAACATTTTATATAATTTACAGAAACCAGTAAAGGCAACCTCATATAATGACAGCTAGAATGAAAATGGGAATTCAAATCTATTATAATAGTAAAAACACAAAGTAAAAGGTGCTAAATTAGGTATAAATATGACCCTGAGGCATATTGCCTTACAAGGGCACCAAAATGTACTTAAAAATATCATACAAGGATTCACCATTAAAATAATCCACATGTGTAGAAAGTAGTTTAATGGATAAATACAAGGTTTTCTGTAGGCATTAATACCTTTATTTTAACCAGGGAGTGAAAAAGAATATTAGGGATGTCATCATCAAACTTTGAGCTTTTACCATGGTCTCAGAGTAGTTTCTCTAATGTAAAACAAGGCATGTGGTGTTCATTCTTGTTACACTACACCTCAAACACAAGGGTGAAAACATTACAAAAACAAAGCAAAAGCCAAGTTGCCTTTGATTCAAGCCTGTTGTTGCAGCCAAGCCAACAATAACTACTGTGTAATACAAGGCAAAGTTATACTCAGAAATCTATTTAAAGTCTCACATTTCGAGAAAAAAAGAATAGTATCAGAGAGGCCCTCAAATCTAATAATTACTTTCCAGCACACCATAGACTTTTAATTTTATGTGGCTGGTTTGTACTCCTCAGATAAAATTTATATATTATAAAAAAAAAAAAAAAAAGAAAGAAAGAAAAATAAAACCTTAAACCTGAAGCCAAAGTCATCTGACCTCACTGTTCATCCATCGCTGAGCCAGGGTTATTATAGTCAATTAGCACCAACTACAAAAAGCTGTTTTGTTAACTTAAAATAACAGTAACTGATAAAAAAACAACCTGTAATTCCATTCTAAAAATTGAATTAAATTAATTAAAACTAACTGAATAAGAGCACAAAATATATCAACCAAATTATAATAAACTGAAATGAAAATTCCCCACCTACAGTATAGTAATCTTGCTCTCTCCTCCATATATGTTCGAGCTAATTTCGCTCCTGTTCTGCCTGTGGCCCTTTCAGCACCTCTACATCATGCAGCACTTTCCAGGTCTTCCACAGCAGCAATTTTAACAGCCTTGTTTTAGGATATCTTTGTGTTTCTCTGTTACTGTTTATGTGTTAAAAAAAAAAAACATTTAAAGTTAAATATACTTTGCACATGTACCTAAATTGGTTACTTGTGAGGGGACCTCCTTTTTCAGGATTGTAAATAATCCAGCACCAAGAGTCAAATTTACACAAAATGGAGTATGACGACCCAGATTCTCGCTGAGAGGCTTATGGAGGTGAAGAGATGAAGCTGCAAATAAAAATTATTAGACTAAAACGGCCCTGCAGACCAATTGAGCGCAGCATTTCAGAGCTGGGTATAATAGAAAGCTTAAAAATTTGTTTATATGGACAGCATATAAAAAACCAAACCAAAGAGTAAATAAGGAGCTGAAGTGTACTAATTGCAACTGGAGACATACAGTACGGCTTTTCACAATTGGTTATTTGAAATTACAGACAGTGTATTTCATTATAATGAGACTGAGATAAAACAACACATTTATTTATTTATTTATTTATTTATTTATTTATTTATTTATTTATTTATTTATTTATTTATTTATTTATTTGTTTATTTATTTATTTTATTTTACAAATAAAATTCTGAAAAGGGTGATTTTTTACTCAACTTTCTTTATTCTAATACTACTAGATACAGACTAAAACTCAATTTTTTCCAGTAAAGCATTCAGTGAATATTTACCTACAGGTTTAATATAATCTCAGAATAGGTTGAGAAATGTTTGGGATGGCTCAAAGATCTATTAGGAAGCATTAGAGAACAAATAGCAATTTGACCAGCAAAGAATACAGCTGACAAATCAGAGATACAGCAAAATAGAGATGGAAGCAACAGCAATGCAACCGAAACCCAGGACAATATAAATTGTTTAAGAAAGGGGTGCTAGTTTATCTGTTTTACTTTTTTAAAATAAATTGAAACCAAACCATGGCAGAAAATAGAAAACATATTCTATTTTGTATATAACCATTTTCCACAAAACTACAGGAAGCATTTTTATCAGCTTTATTTGCTAGAGCACTACATTTGTATCATCCCTAAACTGCCATTAAGGCCTAACAAAATTATTCTAAGGGACTCAAACCCATGCCTCATTTTAGACACCCCTGCAACTTATTTTCTATAATCTTTTTATTTATCAATTTTTTTTTTTTTACATAATACTTGGAGCAGCACAATGTAATGTTTGTTTCCCCTCAGCTGATCGCCATGGAAATCTTCAAATGCTTTTAACAACTAACTTATACAACGTTATTTACTATATTGCACATTGGGGATAATGGTAAGTATATTCATGACCAGTTATTTTTAAACAATAATTTAGTTTTGGTGCATCTTGTCTGGAAGCACATCAACGTCATACTAAAAAAAGCTTTGGTCAAAACAGCTGAAGGTTAAAAAATGATTTACTTTTATCCTCTGTCGTTGTAAACAAACACACAGAGGGCTTAATCCGTTGAGGTCAGTGTGACTGTCAAAAGTTGAAGCTGCACAGAAAGATGGCTGACAGTCCCAGAGGGCCCTGCAAGTGGGATCAAGGATTAAGAAAGATACAAAACAACACCTTCATTGCACTCTGATGCTTTCTCAACCTAATTTCTTTAGGTCAATTAATTCATGGCTGCCGTCATGAAGTAAAATATCTTACATTTCTAGATGAAAATGGTAAAAAATGAGAAAGAGAGTTCAACTCATAGAGGCAACTCTTCTGAGAAGGTCTCATATCAAGGGGCGGAGCTAGATGGGGGGTACAGGGGTGGCCATGGCCACCCTTAGCCAATCATTGCCCCCCCCCCTGTGGCCAACCTTACCATTTTTCCCCCTCTAATACAGATGGTGGCAGCAGTAATACTCTCACGTGGAATATTTAAAAAATTTAAGTTTTTCATATATTAACAATTACTTGACAACAAAAAGACTGTGGTTAATTATGCACATCAATATACTAACATTACAGATGATAATTACAGAATTAATGCTTTTTTCAGAACTAGATTTTGTATTATATCTGGTAAAGAGAAAATTATGTCTCTGCAAGTCATCTCGGAGTCTTCAGTAAAATTATTGATAAATAGCTATTTTAATCAAATGTAATAAATAATAAATGTATGTAGATATGAGTACTTGTAAATATCAATTTTATGCCGAATGATTATTGATAAAAGTAGGTAAGTAATAAAAATGGAAAAGATGTTCGCCCAAAACTCAAACCTCAAAGAATTGTATCCACTATACCTTTTATCTAGACAGCACAGATGTTTAAGTATTTATGTGTCTATTTGTCAGCAAAGGTTGTAGAAAAGTATAGTTAGTCTTTATTTAGAAAATATGTATGTTGTGCCCATTAATTTTCCTGTTGTAGATACATCCCGAGGTTCTGGTGCCTATCTACTTTCGGCCACCCCTCAGTTTACATTGGTTATTGCCTGGCCACCCTTATAAAAAATTTCTGGCTACGCTTCTGCTCATATCACCCTATTCCCACAATGAAACATATAAACATCATGCTGTTGGGATTTGTCTCCTGTGGATAAAAGAGGAAGCCAATCAGAATTCCTGATATGATTACATTAGATTAGATAAGATGAGCTTTATTGATCTCACAGCATAGAAATTCACTGGTCACTTCTTGGCATAGTAATTAAAGAAGGTGCAAACAAGGAGGAAAAAAGTGCATTAAGAATAAACAATATATATATACAGTATATCAAGGTATATACAGTATATCAAGATGATGGGTGAAGCTAAAAAAAAAGGGCAATCCTCAAAAAATCCAAGCAACTTTAGACTTGGTGGTGATTCACCTTTCAGTAGATCAAAAAACATGTTGAAGGATTTAGTGATCACAGAGACCTTCCATCCAATCTGACTGAACCTGAGCTATTTTGCAAAGAACACTGCAAATTGAAATATTTAAGTATTTTTTTCTTAAAATAAGGGATTTTTTTCCTGAATTAAGGAGGTAAGTGAGACCCTTAGCCAATAGAATAAGACAATTTACATTTAAAATAAGAAAAAAACAATTGAATTGTCTTATTTGAAGTGCATATTATCTAATTATCTTATTTTAAGTGTAGAAATACTCATTCCATTGGACAAACATCTTATGTACCTGCTTAAATTAAGGGTAAATACACTTAATCTAAGGCATTTTTACTTATTTCTAGATCGTTTTTGCAGTGAAGAATGGGCACATGTTATTGTTTATATGTGTGAAACTGACACTCACATACCCCACCCCTAAGGTTTTAAAGCTCCTAATCAAAGAATTGATCTGTAAAGCATTGATTCATTGATGGTTATAGGTTATAGTGTTTGGTTATAGACTGTATCTTCACCGACACCTGTTGAGCGTATTTGATGCAAAAAAAATGAAATAAAAAAAATAACAGCATCACTGTAATTTTATAATCTACAGCGGCTGCATCCTCAGCAGCACCCCAACGCACAAAGGCTTGTTGTGTAACTATCTGAGGCTTTATTGTTGCGACGGGGCAAATGCGTATTAAGCGCTACGGTTTGTGCGGTTATGTTCATTAAGACATTCCTGCGAGGATTGGGGCGACAGACAGAGGGAGCGAGGGAGAGAGGGTGGGGTGGGGGTCTTTACATAATAACCTGCATGCTTTTCACGTGAAATGTCCCTTTATAAGCGGAACCTGTACAGTCACACTGGGGCGAACCGTAAACGAGCGGACTAAGCGGAGAGGGGAACAAAAAGTCAGGGTCGTCAAATCGCAGCCAGGATGGTCACCTCGTATCCTTTACCGGAGGGTTTCTCCGAGTTCGATGTTTTCTCGTTAGGATCTTGTCTTCTGGTGGAGGGTGAGTGTTTTCTCTGGGAATCCATCCAGATATCAGTCGGGGTCTGCCCGCGGCGCACCACATTAACCTCTCGGTGAATGACCCCTTAATATTAAAGCCAGGTTTCTGTTCAGGTCATTTCTAATATAGGTTACTTCCCCCCGGTGGGGTGTAAACAAACAAATAGATGAAATCAGCTGACATTTACTGTGTTTGTTTGTATCGTAATAACTGACGCTGTGCGCACCGGCTTTCATCCTCACGACTGTAAATATCTCTTTTCTGCTCTGCCAAAGGTCTGCTAGGCTTCTTTTTGAACGCGGTGACAATAGTGGCTTTCCTCAAAGTGAGAGAGCTGAGGACCCCCAGCAATTTCCTGGTCTTCAGTTTAGCCATGGCAGATATTGGCATTTCCATGAACGCCACTGTTGCAGCTTTCTCCAGCTTTCTGAGGTGAGTTATGCAAGCATCGTTTTCATAACTGCAGGTTATCTATCTATCTATCTGTCTGTCTGTCTGTCTGTCTGTCTGTCTGTCTATATGTGTCTGTGTGCATGTGGGGTGTGTGTGAGTTGAAGGCGTGACCTGGCTAATTCCTGTTAAATGCAATAATCCAGCAGGGATTTTAAGAAAGCTAGGATTACTAATTCCAAGTCTCATCTAGAAAGAATGGGTTAATCTTAGGGAGAGATGTGTGTTAAGTAATTAAAATGTAACAACACTTGTTTCTAGGAAGCCCAACTTCCTGCAACTATGAAAACAAGAAAATACATAGACACTCAAATCAAACTAAAGAAAGGATCACTGTTTGAATTAGGAAATGCTACACATAAAAAAGCAACACACAGGAGATAGTTCCTTTGATGAATGTAGTTAAAATGTTTCACAGCTTAGATATTAGAGGTTGATATATGGGTGCCTCATCAAAATTCTTTGGAAGATTGGTAGAAACCCCTCAGTGGAATTATTTTCTGCAATCCATTAAAGACATGTTGGAGAAAAGGTGGATGATCTTCAGGCCTAAAAGAAAAAAAATTATTTTAATTAATTATCATCTAACACTAAACATCGCCACAATACACAGGTTCAAACACACTTAATACAAATACCTAAAAGCCAATAAAGTAAATGGTCTATAGTTCCAAAGTAAAAAAAAAACCAACAAAAAAAAACAAAACATCTCAGTTTTATTGAGAATTGACTGCTGGACCTGAAAAAGGAGCTATTTTTGTAGACAAGAATTTAAATGTTTCAGCCCTGTAGCTGCTCTTGCAGCCAGAAATATATCATAATTTTAGTCTAATGCTTTCTAAACATACAAAGTGATTCTAGTTCATTGTCATTTACCCCTAGTAATAAATGGTAGATGGCCTGTGCTTATATACTGTAGCGCCTTTTCAGCTAAAGCGACTCCAAGGCACTTCACTCACTCATTCGTAACACACCATCTATATTGTCATTATGTAAACAAATTGAGATCTTGCTAAGATGCTTGGTCAAAAAACAAAGAATAAACATCCTTAGAATAGACCTTTTGCTTGAATAAAAGAAACATGAAGTAATACTACTCTCAAATACAAAGGCTGGCTACTCTACTGACCTCTGCCAGTTATTAAGACATTTATAAGCACAACATTTGAGAGGCTTTTTCCCTCTGGGCAAATTTGTTTTTAGCTCCCTTTTTACAAGAATACAGTTCAAGCAGAACCCAGGTCAGTGTACGTGGTTGTTGAGAGGACAGACCTCACAAACGGAAAACCCAAAAGGAAATAGACAAACTGATCTAGGAGTACCTATGTTTAATATGAATAACAGTTCCATTATTGGATTTATGTAGTAAATAAAAACAGCTAAGCAGAACTTAGACAGTCATACTATCAATGAAAAAAGAATGCATATATTTGCGGTAGCACCTCTTTCTATGGCTTTATCAGTTTAGGAAACATGATTAACGTGGAACAAAAGGATTCAATTTATCATCAACAGGTACTGAAGTTACTGGCAACAACACCTCTGCTTGTGGCAATCATGGGAGGAAATAAGTTTTAAAAACAGAAGCTAGTCTTATTTTAATGGGTTTTTATTTGGTATTTATATTTTTGCCTTTCTCAATCTCAGTTTGCCCAAAAGCCAAAAACTTCTATTTATTTCTATGTTTTACACATCAAATTAAGGTTTCATGATTTTCAAATTGTGTAATATAGAATCATTGTTTAGAAAAAAATGCTATCCAGGACAAGAATGCTAAAGATGACAAAATCCTGTCCTGCCTTAAAAACCACTTGCCTTGATGCCCCCTTATTTGTTTTAATACAAATTTGTGAATAATTATTTATTCAGCATGTGAGTGGGTAAAGGAAGCTTTCTGTGTCGTCTGATATGCCTTAGCCTAAAGATAGCCATTAAACACAGAGTCCTCCCTGCTATGTGCTGCAAGGCTTTTAAAATTCAGGCCAAATTAACATCAGTTTCAGATATTTAAGACCAATAAAGTATTCCAAAGGGGAACATCTTCCTGCTGGGAATTCTACTTCTTACAACAACCTCATGCTCTCACCTTTTTCCTGCAGGTACTGGCCTTATGGCTCAGAAGGCTGCCAGACTCATGGCTTCCAGGGCTTCATGACAGCTCTTGCTAGCCTTCACTTTATAGCAGCTATCGCTTGGGACAGATACCATCAGTATTGTACACGTAAGTTGAAACCTACAAATGTAGCCATTCAAGACAAAAAATGCTGAGATTTCAAAGCACAAACTTGTTAAAGGAGCTTAAAATAGACAAGCTGAAACTTTGTCTTCCCAGGGACAAAACTGCAGTGGAGCAGTGCCATCTCTCTGGCTCTATTTGTCTGGATGTTTGCAGCCTTCTGGGCAGCCATGCCCCTCATCGGCTGGGGAGAGTACGATTACGAGCCTCTCAGGACCTGCTGCACTCTGGATTACAGCAAAGGCGACAGGTGCTGCAAGTGCTGAGGATATTCTCACTGCTAAGAAGAGGAATTTACCTTTATTTTGTTATTAATCTATCTATATTTAGTTACTTAAGTTCACAATGTGATTTACTTTATAGGTGAACTTGAGGTTTTGAATATTCAAATTGGGGTCTGGATTTATAAGCTGGACATTAATGATAGTGTTGATTCATCAAAAGGATACTGAAATGTGTTATTGCACCAAAGTATTTCAATCACAGTCTAACACGTGTTCTTCATTTAACAGGAACTATGTTTCATATTTGATCCCTATGAGCATTTTCAACATGGGGATTCAGGTGTTTGTTGTCCTGTCCTCCTACCAGTCCATTGCACAGAAATTCAAAAAGACTGGAAACCCCAGGGTAAGTAATGTAATAAAAGATGATCCGCCTACATTATTAGAACAGGGAGTCTTTGGAAAGAATTTCATATGCTCTGCAATAGAAGAGATGATAATAAACACACAGATATTTCAGAGTGAAAGGGATGTTTCAGGATTTTAGAAGTTCAACTACGTTAAAAGGTTATTAGTTGGAAATATATTTCACTAGTACATTTGTGAGAAAAAGGTAGAAATGTAAAATTAGCCTGTCCTAAAAGCTCATCTCATAGTCACTAAAGCTGTGTTCTCACTGCAGGCAAATATAACCAAAATAATACATTTTTTCCATATGCGACTCATATCCAAATTTTTATGGCAGTCAGAAAGACCCAATTCTGATCCTTTCATCTTCAAAGAGATCAGATTTATGCTGCGTCCATATGTGGTACTCAAACAGAGACATATACAACAGTTTTAAAGTACTTGCAGTCTAAACTCTCATGTTATGTTCATTCGACTCTTCCCTGATCATCTAGACTCTGACTACTCATTTATACTGACAAACAAAACTTTGTAAATAGTTATCCTCTCTTTTACCTTTTTTTTGTCTAATGATGTGAAACTAAGGACAACTTAGAATTACACAGGTATCAATATCTTTTATAACTTTTTATAAACAGTGTGTTGTTGTGTTAATAATATGTTGGGCCTTTGAAATGTTCAGAGTGAAATCTAATGGTGGCTGCATTTAATTAATAGTCTAAACGATCATGCAGGAAAAAAAGCAGATTTGGTCAAGAAAATAAGATTGAAAGACCTGAAGTTATTTGTAAATCAGCTCCAGCAGCAAAAACATAATAGAAGTTTATGCAAACACTATTTAATGAACCATTGAAATGTTTTCACATTTGCATTGGTATTTTGTATACACAAACTGCTGGTTATTTGAACTGGAAATGAAGGTAGGGGCAATATTAATAATCTCTATGTGTAAAAGCTCTGCTTTGAACAGCTACATCAATTCTGAACAGATTGTTTATAATAGTGTTTACTTAAAGCGCTACAATATTATGATTTTAATTTTTTTTTTCTTTCTATATCAGATTGCTTAATGTAGAGCACGTTTAGCACAGGAAAGTCATTGATGATGCACCATCTATTATCTCTACTTTCCTTATAAATTCTGCGCAATTAACTGCCCAATGCAAATCTGATATAAGGATCTGATATAAGGATTTATAAGGATGTCAGGGTTTACTGAATAATATTTGCTTAAATTCCACTGATGTTTAAAGATTTAAATGGTCCTAAGATTGTAGATGTTTGATTTGGCCTTTCCCATATTTTTTAATAAGTTACATTTTACAACTGATCTGGATTTGTTGTAAACAAAGAAGAATGTTGTCAACAGCAGGTAAAATATTGGTTGAGAAGTTCAGAACTGTCAGTTTAACTTTGCACCTGCATAGACATTAGTTTCTTTAAACCTTTACATTTGATCAAGTTTCTCTTGCAAGTGATTTAAAATGGAAACTACTAAGTAAGTTTTCATAAATACAAATAATCACATGTCTGTCTGGTGTCAAATAGAAAGAATTCAGGATAAACCTTAGAGAAGCATTTACCTCCCATAGATGCTATTTAGAGTTAGTAAAGCGACCAAAAGGGCATGCACACGGTGACATGTTAATATCTTTGTCTATATTTGGCTCAGTAGAAGAGTATTGCATTGGTTGTACATTGTGATTCATAGATCCATTGCTCACAATAATATTAACTAGCAGAAGACATTCTCATTACAACGTGCCCATAGTAAAATGAGTGCTTACACTAAAGCAGTGTGACATTATAATTTCCAAATATTTTCTGTCACACATTGGTACATATTGTAAGTTAACTTTCGTTACAGCTTAGATCTCATAGCATTCAAAAAGTCCATACATGTCTTTCCATTTAATTCATGTTGCCAAATTTTGCTTAAATCACAAATATTCATTAAAGTCTTGTTTTTGTATATCATGTTTTGCAGATTGCCAAAATGCAGAGTGGATTGGAAACAGAGTTATTTAATAATGAACAAAAACCAGGAGGTTATACTAAAGCATTGTAAAAGATCAAAAAGGAATCAGATTTGTTAGGGAAGTAAAGAGGAACAGGTCTTGCAGAGGGAAAGCAGGAAGGCTGAGGGAGGAAGACTTATTAACGTCAAAGGAACCGAAAAGAGGCACAAAGAAACAACTAGCCAAGAGGAAAGGAGTATCACAGATCCCATGAAAAAAAATAATGAACTGATATAGGGACAAGATACTAACAAAAATAATTACAGGGAAATTAGGAATATTGCAAGACCCATGGAAGTGAAATAAACAAACGCAAATTCAGACTAAACCCCAAAGAATGGTAATAATTTTAACGTTTTAAAATGTTTGAAAATAAAATGTTAATACCCATAAAACAAAAGGCTTAAGCTTAGCTTAGTATTTTTTCTCCGGATGCCTAAACTGTTGCTAAGAATAAATCTGCTTCGACCCTAGGATTACAACAACCTGTACCTTCACTCATTGGTTTGTTCAGCTTTCTAGCTTATAATAATCTTAAAACATACTCTTGTTCTCTCAGACATTTCTCTAAGCATGTGATCTGCCTGCAGGCAGGGAAATCTCATGATGAATGGCACTTGTGTCTACACCCCCAACCCTTTTATGCTGGATGGCTTAGGAATCATACTTTAACTCATTCTTCTCAATGTTTATGTTGTTGTTACTATTGACCTACAGTTTAACCCCAACACCCCGCTGAAGTCCTTGCTGTTCTGCTGGGGGCCATATGGTATCCTGGCTTTCTATGCTGCTGTGGAGAATGCAAACCTCGTATCACCAAAGTTGAGGATGGTAAGAACAGTTGGAATAGAAAGCAGTAAAAAGTCGAGTTGTTTTCCATTGCTAATGCGGTTTATTAACCATTTACATTTTAAATCTGAACAAATATAACCCTAACTTTTTGCATCTGATTTTAATTATATTTTTTTAAACATCTATTCAAAGATTTCAGAATTCGCATACATGTGTACACTACATCAGCATGTGACGTCTTTTAAGCTCTTATATTAATGTTGTATTTCCCACAGATTGCTCCTATCCTGGCTAAGACCTCACCCACCTTTAATCCTCTTCTATATGCTTTGGGAAATGAGAACTACAGAGGAGGCATTTGGCAGCTTCTGACAGGGGAAAAGATCGATGTGCCTCAAATTGATAATAAGTCCAAATAAACAGCTGACTGTTGTTGTAGATGTTTTTGTCTGTGAGAGTGTGTACTGTACAATGTGTTGTAAGCACCATAAACCTTTGCTACTTGTATTCTGTACATTCCTATCACCTCTGCAACTGTTTCTGTGGGGATATTACAAAAATTGCTGTCAATGTCTATTGCCTCACACATAGAATACAACCAAACATTCAGTGTGTTACATTTTGTAACATGTTACTTGCTAATTTATCTGTTTGATTCATTTTATTTTATGCCAAGCAATGAATGGCTTTAATTTTTAACTCATCATGTTAATTTTTGATACAGATTTCATCCAAATATTCATAATGCAGTGTTGCAAAACTAAAATAAATATACAGTTATTTAAAGGAACTTATACATAGATACAACAAGAATTACAAAAATAAAACATAAAATACAAACTACTTTATGAAAAACTGTTTACCAACATTTATCAATTTGGCACAGAAACTTTAAAAAAAGGAATCATTCAACCACAATGTCTTTTCTTCATTGTGTGAAAGCTATTTTGTTAAAGGATATATTAGGTTGTCGCTGGCTGAAGAGAAAAGTCCCCACAGAATAATCTAATTTGAGCTAAATAAGATTTCTCTTGACGTCATCTGGCCAAAGAGAATCCAAGATGGCATTCTTTTCTGATAATTGCCTGTGTCCCTGAAATTTAAAATTGTGTTCAATCCATGGATATTTTCTCTGTATTTTGGGTGTAACTAAAATAATCCCCAAAACAAAATCTCTATTATTAAATGCATATGCACACACATATAGGAGAGGTAAGAGACTAAAGATAAACTAAAAAGGCTTCTTATCTTGACATGGACTTTTGCCTACTTATTTAAGTGCAGGGGACATGTAGGCAATAAACCTTTACAAAGATATTTTATTAGATCAACTGAGATGTTAAATTCTTACATGTTGGACTTGATGCTTCTTTTGTGTTTTTGTGCATCTAGTGTATCACATAATTAATTCCTTTGCGTTTACAATTTTTGACCTTTAAATATGAATACATATTATGTGTCTTTTTTTCCATTTCCAATTTCATAAACAAATCCTAGTTTGAAATGTTGTCCAACCACAACATAAAAAGCACACTGTTATTTACTGGTTATTACATAATCAAAGTTTATACAGTAGGTTTTGAAAACCTCATATTCATTTCTTTTTTATTGCGTGTTATAAAAAATGTACAGAACAGCAAATGCATCATTGAAAGAGCAATCGACATCAAACAAAGGATTGTTATTGTTAACATATTTGACATTGAAACTAACCCCATTTTTGTCTTGTGTTGCACATGTGATTTATTCCCAAATGCAAACCTTAAACAGTATGCACCCATCCAAAAAATAAGAGTTATTATGACATATTTTCTTTCTCAGTTTTTTTTTTTTTGTTGTTGTTGTTTCTGTTGATAAAAGCAAATAATAATGGTCAGTATATTGAAATTGTATGTAGAGGATTTGATGTATACGAAATCCCCAATAAATTGCTACACCTACTGGTTTAGAATTATCATATGTCTTGAAATATGTTGATAAATAAAAATAATATTCAAACTTTTGGGGGTTTTTTTGTTTTGATGTTATAGAACTGATTTTCATCTATAAAAAAATTTACAGCTATTGACAGGTGAGGTAATAATATTGTCTGTGCTAAAGTAAAAGTAGATTAATCCTACTTGAACAATGGATACCAGGAGAATAAATGTTGGATCTATATGTGTCACTTTTTAGGTAGTTTAGTGACTTGTGCACTCAAGTGATACTAAGGAATGCTAGCCTCTGTTGCAGTAATTCTGTGAGGTTTAAGCCTTGGAAAATTGGCAACAAATTAAATAATGCCCTGATTTATTAAGGAAAACACCCCCACAAATGATATTGCTTACAGTACAGGTCAAAAGCAAACTCTACACTCAAAATCACTACAACATGCTATTGCGCAAAAGGTCACAAGGCGTATTTTTCTGATAAGGGGTCCAACTGTAAATAGAAGCTGATATCAATGTTGCTAATGGTCTCTAATAGGAATAATTACACAGGTTTACCTATATAATAAATATTTTTTGAATATACCAAGTGAATAAGATTGGATATTATTTTAAGATATGTATTCATTGGATTTTATTTTTTAAAGGCTTTATGGAGGTTGCGGGTTTCATGTCAAACTCAGAGCTGCATGGAAGACTGTTGCCACCATATATGGTGTGCAAGTGGTTCTACTGTTGAGCCAATTGCTACCCGCATATATTTATCCCCATATAATATTTGATTTATTCATTTATTACAACAAAGCTTTAAATATAGACTAGAGCATCATCAAAGACGCTCACTAGCTTTTTTCTGTACAAGCAAATATCAAAACAAATGCTATTACTGTAGGTCTTATTTTCTGCTGTCCACGTCAGTGTAAGACCCAGCTCTCCAATAGACTTTGTTTAAGCATTCCTTCGTTTACATTCACTTTGGATGAGGTGGTGCTTATTGTTTAGGTTTCGAAAGAAATAGCAAAGTTTCCTTCTTTTTTATCTGCAGTTTAAGTTATGATTGTGCTGTCATAATGTTTTTTAGAGATGTACCATAACATAAAGATAGCTAGAAGCTGCTGTGGGTTAATGTTGATGATTATAGGTTTCAGGAAATCCTTCCTAATCAGCTGGATCTGGTTATGTTAAAATGTCCTCCCATTCTAGACTACTCGGCCAACAGTAGAATAGCTGATCTCATCAGACCATACCTTATTCCCAAGCTGGCTACATATAGCAGTTTTCTTTCTGATAATAAAGAAATCAAAAAATAGCTTTCAAAATACAGAGGAAGTAATTCACTTTAAGTATTAGCAATAACATTGGACATTCTAAAGAAATTACTTTTAAACATTTGTGGGCAAACCCAGAGCATCTGATTTATGGAAATGTCTCCTTTATAAGCCAGTAACCGTAATCTGAAATTCATGCATGAACCCCGATGGAATAATTGAATTCATCTTAGTGTCATCTACATATGACTTCCAAGACACTGATGGACATATTGAGCTGTCAGAAAATGAGAAATTATATTTACATCATTACCTGCTAAGAGTCCAAATGTCCTGCAACTGAGGTTTTGGGGAACGATAGGCAAAAAAAAAAAAAAAAACTTGTTTTGAATTGCATGGGTAGCTTCTGCAGCAAAGAAAAATCTTCCTAAAACAGCTGCATAATCTGATATGTAAGAATAGTAATGGAGTCAATAATGTTATCGCTTTTTTCCACACAATTGAAACTTTTTATATAACGTATCAAGATTTAACATCTAAAATTTTTTGAAAATCCTAACTTAAGAAGATTATTAGTTGCTAATATAAATGTGTCGTCATAAATGACGAATAGAGATTAATTATTTAAAACATGCAGGCTTAAGATTTTACATCACATAACTGCTGGATCATGTTATACTCTGAATCCAAATGTCTGGCAGAGGAGCAGGGTTTGCTTTTTTTATCCGCTTTCCCTCTCTTACAATCAAACATATTCAGGTACTTAGAGTTCACTGAGGATTATGTCTGGTCAACCAATAAAGTTTTCATATGGGCTTTTTGAGAGGATTACATAGCATCATGAGCACAAGTGCAGCAGAAAGAGGGAATCGGAGGGAGGGAGGACTGTTCCAGAAGAAAACAAAAGCTGGATGAATGAGCCCTTTTGAAGGAAAAACGGTCACTATTAATTTGTGTTTTTTTCTGTTACTGATTTTCCTTTTTTGTCAGATAACACATGAGAATAAGTTAACTCTGACTTTAAACTGAATGATAATAAAGTAGTTTGTTGCATGTGCTATGAAGTATCTCAATCCTTAGTTTGCCGGCTAAAATAATGCTGTTCATTTTATCTCCAACACTTTATGACAGAATTTAGCTAATCATCACTGTTCTATTTATTGTCATGCAGTGAGCGGATGGTACCAAACTCAAATTCTTTGTTTGCGATCACAATAAAGCTGATTCTGATTAAATGAGGTGAAAGGTCACTGTGCTGCCCCGCATCAACTACACTCCCCTTTAATGATTGGGACTGTTTGATGTGAAGTTGATTATGTAACTGCAGACAGTTGCAGTCATTCACTATGTCTCATTGAGCAACCACTGGAAAATAAGTTCTAAAGCTGAGCACAGCTGCTCCTCCAATCAATCTGGAAAATCCTGCTAGCTGTGCATGCCAATTGTTTGAGGTGTATTTTTACTATAAATAACAAATATATATGCCGATATTATCAATATAATTTAATTGAAAACAATACAACTCAACCAACATATTAAAAGAGAAAACATTGGAAAAAAGAAGAAAAACAGGGTTTTGCAGGATTCATGTTTTAGTTTAATCTGGATTAAAGTGGAGCTGTGCGTCACAGCTCTTTGGAAATCACTGTTCTAAATCACTGAAAGGCACACTGGGACCAGTGCTAAGGAGATGGTAGTAGGACCACTTGATCATGTCCTTACCAAAAAGATGTTCTTACCATCTGCATATTTTCAATGCAATAATTTTCAATTTCGCGATTAATTACCAGACTTTATTGACTCAAAGGAGCAAAAGGTGAAGTAAAACTTAAAAATGTAAATATTAATTTCTAATTAACCTTTTTTATTTACTAGTCTGCATGAGGAGACATTTTTTGATCATATTAACCTAAGACACTCATGATACCTTATTTTCTTTTTTGATCCACGTTGTTACATAGATTATGTACTTTAGATAGAAAGTCTTTACTGTCTCAAAGGGATACTTTGTAAACTTTATATATTGCAAGTTATAAATATAGAGATAGATAAAAATATATATATATATATATATATAGATAGATATATATATATGTAAACATATATATATACATATATACACGTTATATTATATTATAGTATACTGCATTAAGATTTTGATTCTGCTTGTACATGAAAACAAAGCAATATTTGTATTCTAATTATTCAAACTGTCCAGTTAAATATTCCAGTTGAATAAAAACAACCAAATACTGTGATCCCTGCTTTATTCTGTTAATATTTGATGTCATGTCCATGCTGCATGCATGTTGGCTCCAGTGGGTTGGGGATTTTTGCCTGGCTGCTAAAAATTAATACTTTGGCAAATGCTCATGATTACATGGTAATGTTGAATCTCCTGAGCAAGCTTCAAATCCCATCACGGCAGATTCATTAAAACAAAAACCGCAAAGAGGAAAAAAAAAGACATCTGAGAGAGAGAGAGGTTTAAAAACTGACTGCATTTATTTGTCTGTCCTTTTTCTGCGTGTATGCGTGCATGTGTTTCAGATACAAAGAGATTAAGCCCAGCACAGCCTCCTGGGTGAACCAGCAACCAATGTTGGAGTTTGGACCTTCATGGCTCCGCCTGTAAGCTTTCCAGCTGCAGTATGTTCAGTGAGGGAAATAAATGTGATTATCAAAGCTGCTCACCAGCTGATGTAACATTTAGTCTAAAAATAAAACTAAAATATGTTTAGCCTCTTTTTGGTTCAAAATGTAGGATTTATTAGCATGCTTTTAATTTGTCTATGTCGCATAAACTTTTCTGAAGGGAAAAACAAAAATATTAATTACGTTTTGTTATCTGCATTACCCTGTTTTCTTACAAACTAAATTCAGATTTAATTTATGTAAAATGACCATTCAATATAATGTTTTGTATAAATTCACTGATCTAAGTAAAAAATGAGCTCTAAAAAATTACAATGTCTGTCAAAGTATGCTCCTTCAAAAATCTGATAGAAACAAAATTGCAAAATTATTTTCAAGGTTACTTTGATGCTTCCCTGTATAGAGTGCAGGTGTTGATATTTACCGCTCTTGGGACACACACATTCTGTCATGCTGAAATCACATTTTACAATGTTATTGTTGTATTTTAAATCTATAATTGTATTTTAAATGATAATGGCATTTGATGAAATCTGCTCCCACATAGTTTCTAGATCATCAATCACTGATTATAGAACCCTCTCTAAATCTTCTAAGACTGAGGTGAAAAATAAAATGGTGTTGCAACAAGAAAAGAAGTTCATAAATCAGTATTTTGAAGAAAGTCATTTATTTTTGCATTTATACACCAACCTCTCTGTAAAGTGAGCATGTTTTCCTTGGTTCAACGCTTGATTTTTAGCCCCTGGTACTCTGTGTTCTTCCATGATCCAAAAAGATTTATGTTAGCTTTACAAATCACTTTAAGTTGCATATAGTTATATATTGTTTATGTTAAAATGTCTGTATATCTTAAGAGCATCTGTGTTATACACTGACCATTGCTAATTAATAAAAGACGAACCAAACCCACACCCACCCTACATCTCAGCATCCATTATTCAAATAGAAAGCTGGAAGAGAATTGCTGGCTGGAAATGAAAGGAGTATGAGGACATCTGGTGGTTAACCTCAGTATCGTTTTTTTTTTTTTTTTATCTTTTGGAAATCATGTATTTTTAATTAAAATAAGTAATTTTATTCATCACTTATTTTTTATTTATTGTTATTCAATTGGGACATTTCATCAATTAATTGGTCGATTTTGAAATACAATTGTATATTTTGTATTTGAATCACATATTAGATAAATTAATAATTACATGCTACACCTACTTATTTGATGGTATATTTATTCATTAATTTCTTGGGATATATATATTTTTTATATATTATTTTATAGTCTCTGGGAATCACATACCAAGGATTGTGATACCGACTTGATTGTCGAACTTAATACTGTAACATGTGCCGATCAAAGTGATGATAGATTTATGGAACTCAGACTCATGTAATGGTTTAAGCATCCAACTTGAATGTGAGAGAATTGAGCTCAAATCCTGGTAACATCATGAATGGCAATTTAAATCAAAACTTTGTCAGCAGTGGATAAAATGTATCCTCTTTTATCATGTTGCACATTCTGTCAGTTTTCATCTAGAACTAATATGACTAGAACAAACAGGACCGTGCAGTAGTTCAGGATTACATACAGTTACTTTACTTGGCCTTATTTATGAGGATATTTAACTTTCTTTCCTTGGTGAAGCATTCAAACTCACCCACCACCAAAGTGAGTGTGTTTTGTATGGGGACAGTTAAATTAAGTAAAAGAACATGTTTAAGTTTTCTTCACTGCAACTCAGTCTTTATTTTAAACTCCCTACAGATGCAGTTTATCTGCTTTCAGAACTCCTGCAGGTGCATTAATCTCATTAGCAGTTTCCTTAAACATGAATGGGTCATTTTGATGCTAAGTAATAACAGTTAAATGCTTTCCTTTGGGAAAACGTCATAAAAAAGGAAGTTTATCATAATATGTCTGTCCATAATTTGTTGTAATTAATCTTTCATTTCTGATGACAAATACATTCTAGCTGGACAGTTTCTACTCTGCAAATGAATTTACTATCCTGAAAACAAGCCAGATTGGGCTGTGATTTAAAATGTATCAACTGAGGAAATCAATTTATTTTCAACGAAATGTATTTAAAATACCTCAAAGATGTAAAAGTTTGCAAAGAACATCCAAAACCTTTTAGTGCCACCAAAACCTTATACAAATCAGGATAGAAAATATTGCAATAGCGGTCCCACCCAGTAGATGGCAGTATCTATGTGTATTTAAACTTACCTGGGAACTTAGAGGAGGTTAGAAGTAGGATGGATGTGAGATAAATTTATTTATGATTCTCGAAGAGCAGCAGTTATTTTTCATGAATGTTAATTTTCCCTTTCTGACACGTATTACTGAAAATTTCGTGATGTCCTTTACTTGGCCAGATTTTTGCATTCATTTGTACGAATTTTAGACGTTTAGTTCACGTAAGTAAATTAAATCATGAACTCATTATTTCTCTGGAGCCAAAATAAAAATCTTAATTGTTATAAATACCAAATCGGTGGATTTTTTGGTAAGAACTTGAAAACAAAGAATGCTCAATATTAGTGATGACCCTATAGAGCCCTAAAAATATAAATGTCTCAGTTTTGACGATTTGTACTTTTAGTTTGATACTCTTTTTTCAGTACCAAACTTAAAAAGAAAGAAAACTGTAAATACATACTAAAGGGCGCCAAAGAATATATAGAAAATATGGATTAAGGGAAAACTATTTCAGATAATATTTTGGAAGATGTTGTTTAAAGACAAATTTAAAATCCGAGATGTTTTGATGTTTTAGACCGATTTACAGTCAGGACCCTACAAACTTATAGTAAACTTGGGTCCCCTCCTTTCAGACGCACGAAAAAAGAAGACAAATACATGGGAGCTGTCCACTGAAATGTGGTGCTGAAACCATTCATTGATAAATCTATGCGCATTTCGCCTCACTTTTCGATGCCTTTGATTTTTTTTTTAACTTGTATTCTAAGTTATACATTATGCATATAAAAAGTCAATACTGTTGTGCTGCAAAATATGTTTTGACTATTTAAGGATAGGTTAAGAAAAAGAAAGTCTCTAACAAAGCATCTGTGGCTCTGCTTTGATGCGACTGACTGGACAGGAGTGCGCACTCGGGATTTTGTGTTTAATTAGCATAAAAGATCTGCTGGAGAGCAGCAGGACGATGCGTCACAGCCATGGACCAGGATGGGAGGGGAAGGGGGGGTACCTATGGGAGTCAAGAAGCAGCTGTGTGTATTCCTTCCATCAACCGACAAAAACCAGACCCGCATGATGTGAAATGATGACTTAGCACAGCTTGTTACAGGTGGCTGGAGACAGCTGGGTGAGTCAGGGAGCCGGCGGGGCGCAGCATCACAGATCGCTAATAGAGCCGATGTGCTCCGGATTAGACCCCCCAACCTGTGAGTCTCGATGTCCGGAACCCGCGCGTCACCTGACGGGATGTGAGGCTGTGAAGCAACAAGAGGGATCGGTGATAAAACGAGTCCGAGTCACGGAAGTGGAAGAAGGCGTCCAATGAAGGACAGCGCAAGGGAGAGAGAAGAGGTAAAGGAGCGGAAAGTTGTTTAGTTCACCGGGGAAGCCGAGCCGCAGCTGATGTGCGCAATTCTGTAAAACAAACTTTTGGAAAAGAAATTATCGAGCAAAAGGGGAGAGTAATCATGGAGTCAGAGGGGATCACAGAGGAAGGAGCTACTAATGTGGCACAATCTGCAGCTTCCAAACTCGCCCAGATGGGCGAAAGAACTAAACAGCTGGGGAGCGCTATTCAAAACCCAGAACGGCAAAAGCGCATCATTCTCGTAATAGTTTGTGTTGCACTTTTATTAGATAACATGCTTTATATGGTGATTGTACCAATTATACCCGATTATCTGGAGGGGTTGCAGAGAGAAGCGGATCTGGAGCAGTCAGCTGCTGAGCAACACACCAACTCTACGAACAGCACCATCCACAGAGCGCCCAAAGGGAACTTCGACCTGCAGATAGGCGTCCTGTTCGCCTCAAAGGCCATCCTGCAGCTGCTGGTGAACCCGCTGAGCGGTACCTTCATAGACAGGGTTGGCTATGACATCCCTCTGTTCATTGGGCTCAATATCATGTTCCTCTCCACCCTCACTTTCGCCTTCGCCCAGAACTATGCGACCCTGTTCTTGGCGCGCAGCATCCAGGGCCTCGGCTCAGCATTCGCGGACACCTCAGGGATCGCTCTCATCGCGGACAAATATACAGAGGAGTCTGAGCGGAGCAAAGCTCTGGGCATCGCCTTGGCTTTCATCTCTTTCGGGAGTTTGGTGGCACCGCCATTTGGAGGAGTCCTGTATGATTTAGCTGGGAAGCAAGCGCCTTTTCTGATCCTGGCCTGCATCTGTCTCATTGATGGGGTGCTGTGTCTGACTGTACTCAAACCCTTCTCCAACAGGGAGAGGGAAAACATGCCCGTTGGCACCCCGATCTACAAACTGATGATTGATCCATACATAGCTGTTGTGGCTGGAGCGCTGATCGTCTGCAACATCCCCTTGGCGTTCCTGGAGCCCACCATAGCGAACTGGATGGATGAAACGATGCATGCCACAGAGTGGGAGATCGGCATGACCTGGTTCCCTGCGTTCTTCCCTCATGTGTTAGGGGTGTATCTCACTGTGAAACTAGCAGCCAAGTATCCCCAGCTGCAGTGGTTCTATGGGGCCATAGGCATGGTGTTCATAGGGGCCAGCTCCTGCACAGTACCAGCCTGCAAGAACTTCTGGCAGCTAATGATCCCGCTGTGCGGCATTTGCTTCGGCATTGCCTTCGTTGACACGGCGCTCCTTCCCACGCTGGCCTTCCTCGTCGATGTGCGGCACGTGTCTGTGTATGGCAGCGTGTACGCCATCGCGGACATCTCTTACTGCGTGGCCTATGCCCTGGGGCCCATCGTGGCGGGGCAGATCGTGCATAACCTGGGCTTTGTTCAACTTAATCTGGGCATGGGGCTCGCTAACGTACTTTACGCGCCGGCACTGCTGCTGCTGAAGAACGTGACGCAAATGAAACCTTCTTTCTCAGAGCGCAACATGCTCCTAGAGGACGGTCCCACGGGCCTGTATGATACGATTAAGATGGAACAAAGGGAGAAGAAGAGAAAAGGTCTGTGCACAACAATTGATGAGAACGGCATCGAGACGTTTGTGCAGCGCTCTCAGTCGGAGGAGGAATCCTCAGGAGGAGAGTACGCGTAAAAGAGTCATTGAAACTGGATGCGATTTAAAAAGAAGTGCCACTGATGACATGTGTGTATTTATGATTGTGAAATTATATCACTCTGTGACAATTTCTCTGTTTTTGTTTGTTTTTTTTTTTTTTCAAATCAAGTGTTTCTCAAGTCTTTGTTTCAAACTAGGAAAATTGTGGAAAATTTGCTGAGAGAAATGTCAATTTATCTATTTATCAATGTAAAATAATTTGATTCTTCAGGGAATATTGTGCAAATGTGTTTTAAGAAAATATAATGTATGCGTCGTTTAATGCCATCTGTTATGTTGCTTATAAATTAAATATGCAAACTTGTGCAGCTGCAGAACCGAAAACGGGAATTATGTGGAATCTCAATCTTATTTACAGTCCAATTTAAATGAAAATGTGCTTCTGGAACGCAAAGCCTGAAAATTGTATTCGACTGTACATACATGTATATTCATGTATATAATTAAAAGAACAGTATGTGAACAATACCGCTGTCTTTGATCATGTACCTACGAATTAACTTCAATTATTGTGATGTATGGTTTTATTTAAATGTAGAGTTGAAAAAAATATCATTGATGAAATAACACAAATTTTCCAGACAATAAAAAACATAAAGGGGCGTGAAAGGTCTATTTCTGCAAACATTGCTGAATAAAAATAAAACTACAACCTAAGCCTTTAGTAGTACAAAAACTTGTAAGGAATGCTATTTTCTGGTCTTGAAAGTGTTGATCTTTCGGCATAAAATGCACCTAATATGCACAGTTAAATGCAAAAAAAAAAAAAAAAAGACTGAAAAGAACTGAAAAGTGTCTGATGAAAAAGTGTTAGACCTGAAGCAGTAAATGTTGCCTAAATAAGGTGGAGTGAAGGTCGCAGTTGTCAAACAAACTTCTCCACGAATAGCAGGACTTTTGGGAGGAGCCAGACTGCTTGGAGGCTGAGGAATCCTCTCAGCATCTCTTTTGAGCCAGCAAGGGAGTTGTACTGGTACCATGGAAAGAGGGAGAAAAAGAAGGTCAAATGATTAAGGAGAGAAAGTCTGGATTTTTTAGAATTTATTTCTTCTATGGCTTCAAGTTACAATACATCAACATACATCTCTTGGCCTGAAGAGGAGTGAGATTTTTTTTTTCTGCATGAGGTGAGTGAATGTTTACTTAACTTAAAATGGCTTAATTCAGTTTGATATAAATAGTATTAGTTCACAGAAATTAGGTTTTATATCTAAATGTCCCTATTGCACTTATTGTTTTCTATTCCATCTATTTTTATTTGCCTTATGTTTACCTAAGAATGGGATGTTTCAATAAGAGATACAGATAAAATCCATATACAAACTTTTTTTCTTCATCTTACAAATTCTCTATATATCACATTATTTTGGTAAAGCTAAAACTTAGAAATTTCATGATGACTCTTCTTGGTCATAAGCAAAGGAAGAAATGAGGATTTGTCATAACAACATCTGAATGCTGTGTGCTTCAATTTTTTTCTTAATTATACTTTGCCGTTCTGTATGCGCACACACCTACACACAGACACACACACAAATATATACATGCATATACATATATATGTGTATGTATATCTGTGTGTGTCTCAAACAGAGACATTGTAATAAATACAAATGTTTAAAAAAATGCAAATAATTGAGAGATCTATAATAAAATTACTACTAAGAGGTAGCAAACCATAGATGTTTCTTCCTGATTTAGGATTGTTTTTAAAGCTGTATTACCTGCTACATTTTCTAAAGTGATATTGTCCAATTTAAGTGATGAGCCTAAGTCTCATATCTTCACTTTCTTGACAGCTCTTGTGTGTCACCAAGATGCCAATCCTAAGCCGAGAGTCTTCCAAAGATTGCGCAAGCGGAGATGTAAATATGTTCTGTAGTTTTTTCATATGTGAGTGAGACGTAGATTTAAAAAAATAAAATATAAACTAATGCATAAGGATCGTCATAGTGAACTAAAGGGGCATGAGGAAATTCAATTATTTATTGAAGTAATTTTTTAATGCAAAATGTGTTACCTAATATAAGAACTTTATAGATTAAATAAAAATGAATAATTAATCTCTTAAATTTTTAAGTATAATAAGTTGTAGACATTTGCCGATTCCCATCATTCCACAGGCTCTACCAAAGCTGCCTCTGCCAAGCCTCAGTGACACTCTGGCCACATATCTGAGGTGTATGAAGCACCTCCTCACTGAAGAACAGTTCAACCAGACCCAGAATCTGGTGAAACAGTTTGGAGCCCCTGGGGGAGTGGGAGAGCTGCTGCAGAACAAACTTGTGGAAAAAAGGGAGAAAAAAGCCAACTGGGTAAATAATCCTTTTGTATATAAATAAATAAAAGCAATCTATTTATTTCTGGGTCAGAGGTCAAGATGAAATTGTTTTTTTTATCAATAAAACACCGCTTATTGATTCAATAGTGGGCTTTAAAGGATATTTGCTAAATTTTCAGAACACTGCAGGTGCAGTGCAAGGAGTTAGAATATTACCAACATGTTCAACTATTTCCATAGTTCAGATCAAAAAGGTAATCTCAAATTAAGACAGATAAAAATATGCAGTGACAAATTTCAGGTTTTCTATATCTGTTCATTTTGATCACGTATGGCTATTAGTTAATGAATATTCAGATTTTAACTTATTTAAATATTACACGACACAATGAAAAATTATTCTTAATATGAAATACCCATCAATACATATATATACGCTAGATGCACAATGTACTGACTGAATATTTGCTTGGAGCCCCTTTTTGCATGCTTTAGTTCATCTAAGTAGAGATCAGTCTGTATCATAGCTGAAGGTATTGTATTATAAAACCCCTGTTTTTGTTTTTTTATAGTACACTTTGAGTCGTCTATATTCTTCACTCTGTCTCTAGCTACCCCTTATATTTCCTTTAACAGCCATCATTTTTCCTTCCACCTAACTTTCCATATACCGTAGTAACTAAATGCCTGTTTACAGCCTTCAGTGAACACAAGCTCAATTAGTAATGCTTTTATTGTACTTTAATCTTCTTTAGGAAGGTATCAGTTACCAACTGTTGGACAACTGGTCATAAATTGGCTACACCTACACATTTGCTATTTTTATACTAAAAGAAAAAAAAGATGCTTAGATTTCTGGACAAAAAAAACTGCATTTTTCCTTTGCTGTCACTTGTCAACAAAAAAAAAGAAGAAATAAAATATCAAAATTATATAATTTTTTAAATAAAATATCCATTTTATTTTATTTCACTTTTTAACTGAATTCATGAAGTAAGCAGAAGTATTGAGATGGACTTGCAGTTAAATTTCCATTGCAATTTTTATGGTATTTGTATGTTTTGATATTTTGGGGTAAAAACAGGTTTATGACTACTGGCTCAATGACATGTACCTGAAAAACAGACTGGCTCTACCCGTCAATTCCAGTCCTGCAATGGTTTTTCCCCAACAGAACTTCAAGGCTCCTATCGACTCCTTAAGGTATAACACAAATTAGACATTACGTTTGTTATTTTTAATTCAACCTAGTTTCCTGAAATTCTAATTCGGAGGACCTAACGTGTGTTATCTAAGATTTAAAACAAAGTAAAGCTTTTTGTTTCCAGGTTTGCTGCGCATTTGATTTCAGGAGTTTTGGAATACAAGGCTCTACTTGATGCGTAAGTCACTCTATAATAGGACTTTCCTTAAAAAAGAAAAACCGTTGCAATCAAAAGCATGTGTTCACCTGTGTAGTCATGCCCTGCCTGTGGACTATGCCCGGGGCCAGCTCTCTGGAACACCTTTATGTATGGAGCAGTACTATCACCTCTTCACATCATATCGTTTACCAGGACCTGACAAGGACACACTTGTCGCCCAGAAGAGCAACGTGATGCCGGAGCCTGAGCACATCATTGTGGCCTGTAAGAACCAGGTGAGGCATGAGGAAATATTTTGCTAAATATGTTGCATTACAGTTTTTTGAAACCAAATTCAAAATCAATGACTCCCTAATGCAGGGGCTGAATCACACAACTCTAAATATCAGCTGTTGTAATGATATTTTAAAGCGGATCAGGAGCAGTCAAAATGACTGTTAACAGCATATTACCGTTACCATATATACTGTACCTAATGGATAATTATTTCACTAATCTATCTGTACTATCTTTAACTGGAAAAAAAAACATTTTAATCCAATCAATTTTTACCTATATTGGTAGACATATCCACATGATGTTAATAATATCTTGGAAGTTCGAGTAAAGATTGATGTAGAAGATTGGTGATACGATTTTGATTAAGCTCTGTCAAATTTGTCGCCATAGTTTAAAAGAGTAATAGGAAGACTTGAAGGGAACAGGAAAACAACTTAATAAATGACTTAAATCTTTTTCTTTGGTCAAATAAAATCTAAAAACGAAAAATTCAAAACTTAATGAGAGGTTTTCTAATACAATTGGGATCATCTTCTTGACGTCAATTACTAGAGCTGTCTTTATAGCTTTGTTTAGCAAGAAAAAGTCAACTTAACTTTTTGTCATAAGTTTATTGTTTTTGATTACTTTATTTGCAGAAACAGACAAGTGACAGAAAAAACTGAACTGTTTTATAAAGTTATAATTGTGGTGCTTTAATGCTTTAATACACAGTCAATCAATCAAGTCAATAATAAAATGCCAATACCAGAAATTAGCTCAAAACTGAGTCATGAAATGACTGAAATAAACTGATTATTTGATAAAACATGTTAAATAGTTAGTTTTAAATTACGTGACAGAGAAGTTTGTGATACAAATTAACCAAGAAACAAAGAATCTTAAATGCAGAACAGAGCAGATATAATAGCAGGGAGACTCCCAAATCACCTGAACGCAACAGCAAATAAGGGTGCAGCTTGAAACCAAATCTGCGACAAACAGACCAAAACTAGAATGGATCAACAAATTGAGTTTTGAGGTTTAGCACTTTAAAGTTTGAACCCTGCAGTTTTTGGTTACATTAAAAGTTTGGCTGCTCTTCACAATAGCTTTACTCTATGTTATACACTGTGTCTTGCTACTAAATAGATCTTTGAGAAAACTGGCCTCATTGTAGGTGTACTGTAGATAACTGATCATGATCGTTCCATCAGTTAAACATTATTTTGTCCCTATATTGTTTACCTATGTTTTTCCAAAACAATCCAAGGAAAGCTAACGCCTTATATTTGATTTGAAGAGAGCAAAGGAACCATTCAACTAAAAATTGGCTGTATCCAATGTGAATTTTTGCAGTTCTTTGTTCTGGATGTGGTGATAAATTTCCGGAGACTAAATGAAAGAGATCTGCTGACACAGCTGGAAAAAATCACTAAGATGGCTGGCAGTGAAGATGAGCCTGTCCCACCTATCGGTCTTCTTACCTCAGATGGACGGACAGAGTGGGCCCAGGCACGCAGTGTGCTGATGAAAGGTGCAATTTTAATAAATTCTTTATTTATATTTTAAATGTAAAATATTTACTCTGAAGTGTTCTTTAATCTCTTTCAATTTAAATATACATTCAAGTACTTCTTATTGTGAACAATATTATTCTGCAGGTTGATAACTCAGAAAAATGTAATCCATTGTGTGGTTTTTATACCCTAGAATAATGCATCTTGGTAACCTTGATCAACAACTGCTTCCAGTCTTACAGATAATTTTGTTTTGGATCTATCTCTCTAAAAAATGCTAATAAAAATAAGTTGTCAGAAAATAGTGTACATTCTAATGGGATGTAATGTGCAACATACACATTCTCCAAACTGTCTCCAGGGGCTTGATCAGGCCCTGATGATGTATTGATGTTCTTCTGTGAGCTTTTCAATGTGCCTCAAAGTCCAGTTTCAAACAAACAGCAACAAAAAGAAGCCCAAACATATTTATTAAGTTATTATAAAGCTCTAAGGATTTCTTTCATCAAATACTCCTACATCATCAAATTTCAATATACATTCAATAATTTCTCTAGCATTTTTCCTACCCATAGAATCAACCAACCGAGACTCCCTGGACATGATTGAGAGATGTATCTGTCTGGTTTGTTTGGATGAACCAAATGGAACTGAGCAAAGTGATGCAACACGCGCTGCAATGATGCTGCACGGAGGGGGGCCAGGCACGAATGGGGGAAACCGTTGGTACGACAAGCCGATGCAGGTTGGTGAGCTTCTTCTCTTTAACTTTGAATATTAGCTGTGTGTGAGCTTTAGTTTACAGCAGGTCCCCAAGGGCCACTGTCCCGAAGGTTTTAGATTTTCCCATTGCTTTGCATAGCTGATTCTAATGATTCAGTTCAGCAAAAGCCTGTTAATCAGCTTTCACTAAAAATAAGCTGTACCGGAGCAGGAAACGTCTAAAACCTGCAGGATAGCAGTAAAGGCTCAGAACAGAGGGCCAAATATCCAAGGCAAACAGACAGATTTCTCAAAAGGTGTTTATTTAACAATTATGGATTGGCAGTGGACAGCAAGGAGGGAAACAAAGGTTAGTGTTAATCTGGCAGAGGATGATTACTAATGTCTTAGTCACTAACAATCAATCCAGTCAGCAGCCCTGGAGAACTGACTTTGGGCATACTTGGTTTATAGTATTCAGTTGGCCAGTGAAAAGTAGTACATAGTTTTGACAGAATGCAAATCAGAAATGGTCTTCAAGTAATCTGAAAAGTGTGGCATCGAAATCCAAAAGAAATCCTTTGCTGTGATACAAGTAAAATAAACAGTGTAGTAACTGCCTGTATGAGGTGTTTGATAAATAAATAAACATCCTCAGCTGTATACAAATTATAAATAAAGAGCTTCAGAGGACAACAGACCTACCAACACATAGCTGTACAGTTAACATTTTAGGACCTTTTCAGGTCTTACTAAAAAGATTGTCAGGTCTTATTAAAAAAATAATAATAATGTTGCTAGATTTAAGGAACAAAGTTTTCAAGCTTTGAACTGACACATCCTTTGTTTTTTTTTTGTTTTTTGTTTTTTTTTTTGTCTGATGGGTTCGTAGAGACCTGGTGACATTGTGATGTAAAGCTGTGTCGTCTGTATAGTTATGGTAACTGATCTGGTTGTTTGCTACAATCTGAGCTAAAGGGAGTATGTAGATGTTGAATAGGAGGGACCCCAGAATGGGGCCTTGAGGAACTTCGCATTTGAGTTTCCTAGTATCTGATATAACGTTCTCTATTTACACATAAAATCCCTGTCTTTCAAGTAAGATTTAAACCAACAAGTGCTGTACCAGTGAGGCCAACCCAAT